AATCTACTTTAAATAACTCAAATCAAATTGAACTCTTAGATTTTAACTGCTCTTTATTACTTGAATTGTGTTCAAGATAGTGCGCATAACATTTCTATACAATGAGGTTGTATTTGAGGAAGAGAAAGCAATTAGAGAAGGTATGATTGAACACTTTTCATGATCATACTGGAATGTTAATTTTGGAAATCGTGATTTTTGAGAAAATCGATAAAATTTAACAAATAGAAATAACTTTTACACGAAGTTGTGAATTAAATAATCGCATACTTAAGGATGAGTGCAATCCGGACACTTATAGGAATGTTAATTTGAAAGCTGTATGACCGACCTGTCCTAAGTATGATTTTAACAAGGAATTTTAAATCTTCATAGACACGAAGATTTAAAATTCCTAGAATTATGTTACGTACAAAAAGATAAGAGAGACGGACTAATTCGAATTCTGACCTTCAAATGAAAGGATTTTTTTTCATTGTATTTCATTCAATTGCCTAACCTTATCCTGGAGTTTTCTTTCTTCTCTTAACTTTAACCCAAAGGTACGATTTACAAGGAAGATTAAAGATGAAGAGTTATATTTCTTGTATTGTAAATTTAAGTTATCTATTTTATATGTTCCGTCTTTTGCCATTTGTTTCAGAACTAATTGAAAGCAGTTTTCATGTCACATATCAGAGGAGAATGAATAACACGGAAACAGAAAGGAAAACAACATCGCAAAAGGACGGTTCATTTCTCGTCACCAAATCAAAACTTCCGGTGACACAGAAATGAAGGGTTGAGAGAAGTGAAAAATTAATAAAATGATGATGTAAGCTAATCAATAATTGGAAATAAAATTAGTCAAAATTTTTGAATTTAATAAATTGATTGTACGGAATTCACATGAAGTATTGAAAATTAAACTAAATTAAAGAAATGATAAAAGCAATTATCACTATCTGGGATATTATAGTTGAAATAGTATCGATTGTAAAACGATTGTAGTAAGTTAGAGGCAAAAACAGAAATAATTAACGAAAATATAAAGAAAGCAACAGTCCAAATAAACAAAAAACAAATTAGCGTCAGAAAATGACAAAAGATAAGACATATCTAAAAAACATATGATCTAACCCGTCCAATATTTTGATATTCGTTAAATCATCCCAAAATATTAAAGATATAATCGCTTGACGTAATAGTCACATACAACTCTCTCTGCTCCTGTCATTCATGTGGCATTTGGATTTGGGCGTAAACGTGTTGGTTTGCATTAAGCGATGGATTGTTGAAGAGAGAAGCGAGATTTTGAACAGTTATCACTGTGAAGTATATCACTTCCGCCCGTGGAAATTCCATCATTATTGTAATTGAATGGAAAATGAGTTAAAAAGGTGCAGTGAAGAATTCGGACGATAATGCATTCATTCTATCGTGACATTGAATAGAGGGGAAGGTCTAAGAAACCGGTTCCGAAACTTTTCGAAAAGAAAAAAAACTCTAATTTGATGAAGAAATCATGTTAATTTAAAGATTGGCGAATAAAAGCGGCTTCTGAAAGGTGCCAGAAGCAGGTTCAGAAGACGGTACAAAAAAAAAAAAAAATTTATTCATCATTAAAGCGCTTTGCAGTATTGAGATGATATATATATATATAAAAGTTTGAAATTCTCTCATATTTCAATGTTTTATTTATAAAAATTTTATAATTCCTGTCAAATATTGATATCTCATTACACATGGAATTAACAATGTTAAATAGTTAAAATGATCATCCGATTATGAAGATTAAAACATAGCGGGAATTTTTGAGATCAGTCAAATCCCTAGAAGTGTTAATCAATAAAATTGATCTAACAATTGACATCAAGAGTTTCATTTGTTGAAAATTTACTTTTAAATATCTTTTTAGATTTACTTATCTTTTTTTGTAGGAAAAATTCAACAATATATTTTGGTACAAAATATTTGATGATTAAGAAAAAGAAATAAAAAACAAAATGAGACCAATTAAAAATGCAATGCATTCAGAAGGCAAATATCGGTTAGCTTTTTAGTTCATGAAAGTTTTCCATGCCTGTTCAACCTGGTGATGAATACTGGATGCAGATCAAACTGGAACTGCAGCTTCTCGGAAACATGGGCTTTTTTCAAAACTTATGTATGTATATTTTATTTTAACGTTGACAAGCCTTTTAAACTACTGGTCTTTTTGTATGCATCATTTATTTTAATCAATCAATCACTTGATTCTTTTTATAAAAATAATAATGCTCTTCCTGAAAAGCTTCCTGAAATATCCACTTACAATAACTGCAATTATTGAGTTGTGCCTGATCTTAAAGGCCTGGTTGTGACGATGACAAACATTCCTTTTGTCATTTCATTCTTATCACATTAATAACTACGGAAAGATTTGTCTCATTAAAAAGAAGTAAGAAAATAGATTAAATTCTTGAAAAAGAATTAGAACAAGTTGCTTTGGGATATATTGGATGATCTCAATTCATTACTAAATCGTACTTATTAAGACTTTCCCGAAAGAAGAAAAGACGTGAAATGCAAAATATAAAATTGCTGTAACACATATAATAAGTGCATTTTGCTACAATTATGAGATTGGAACTTTAAGAACACAAAATGGAATCTTGACAGTTAGAAAACCAATAAATGATTAATTAACGAATAATCTTTTAGCTGTCAAAGTGTGACTAATCAGTGTGCAGAAAGGAGGTTAAATTGTCTCTAAATTTGCATAATGCAAACAAGTTACAGTAAGTTAGTGTATTTTTTAAACTATTTCATTTATATCATCTTGTATTGGTTGGTCGTATTTATGGTAAAATCTGCGTGATTTTCTTTTCACTTAAAAATTATTCTCATTGCTGAATTAAAATGTCACGTGGAAATAAAACGTTTTTTTTTCTATGTGATTTGCTCAAAATGATCAAATTTTAAAGCACGATAATGGTGAAGTTCTTTGATATTCGTCATAATTTCCTTTTCATGCTTTCAGAATTTCTTAATTTTAGGCAGCTGTCACCACAAGTTTGTACCGTACGCTTGGCAAATTGGCATGCGATATTTCGGAGCTTTCATCAGCTGACGTTGAAATTATAGTCAATGTACAGTTTAAAAAAAGCACAACGTACGGTTCACTTCTAATATGCTATCATTGCTAAATTTTGAAAGGAGAATTATAATTGGCTGGGGATTAGAGGTATGAATAGATTTCATTATCGATGTTTCAACAATTTCAATCAGACAATTTTTACAAGCATTTTAAAGCATTATTTCCAGGGGTTCAACAAACATAAGCGGTAAGTTTCAAATTTTTGTATGATTTCAATTTCTTCCCTGTATTTGAAAACATAAGCAACCTCTTTAATTCATTAAATTTAAAATGGTCCTTGGAAATATGAATCTGTTCCTATAATTCAGTGCATACCTAAATTTGGATTTTTTGCTTTCAGATTACCCAACAACGTATGAATCCGAAGATTTTGAGTTAGTTATTCAATCATTCCTTTTATTCCATAATTTAAAGCTGAGCAACTACGATCATTACTTCCTTTTTTTAAGAGGTATTTTCTTTTCACTTTCTGAGAGTACCATTGAGAAATGAATTTTTCAACCTTCTAGATCAGCTCATAAGGTGTTATCGCTTGAATGACCTCCGAATCCAGAAATTGTAAGTTAGCTCAAATTCTTTCTCTGAAATCCTTTTACGCTCATATAGTCAAATTTTCGACAGTGAATAATATTCAAAAGTGGGAAAAAGCTGGAAAGTAATTGCATTATAAAAGTAATCATCTTTTGTTCGTCATTTAACAATGGAAACATTTGTGTGTTTTCGATCCCTTCCTGCCAGCATATACCCTGCAGCATGACGCTCGCTTATACATTTCTTTCAGCCATCAGCGATGCAGATCAACCGAAAACTGCAAAAATATTTCCAAAATACAAGTAATGTATAACTAAAGTACTCAGTAAAATTATTTCAAGAAAATATTCTCAAACGGTCCTTACGAATGAACGCAACAAATGTAAGTAAAGATTCGATTTGAAAGTCGAATTTGATGCGGTCACTTTCTCGGAGCCGTTCATTTTTTCCCAAATCTGACTTCCCTTTTAATGAGTTTCACATACACCAAGCAATTCCGAGAAAATCAGAAATTTTCACATCTTAACAAGTTTTAAAAATACTGTACTTTCCTACTCTACTTGCAACCTTAATAGTCCTTTGACTTACAAGTGCGTCAATAATTAGCACAACATTACTGTTTAAAATTCTGTTGTAAAGAAAGAAAAGCACTTCTGCGCCATTTTATCTGCAGAAAACCATATCTATTTCAAACTACATAATGCGATTTCGCTAAATATATTTATCCGCAACACCACTTTAGGTAGCGTCATGTTAAATTTCTAATACACTAAATTTTGCTATTTTTGTAAATTATATTATTTCATACAACTAATATCAATCCGAGAAACCATTATCTTTTGAATTCATTGAAAGTACGATTGTGTACACGCTTTGATGTACTGTTTGGAGAATAGAAACATTTATTTTTTAACAAAAAGAAAATGTTGAACAAAAAAAAGATAAAATTAGAACAACATCTGATGAGGGAACTGATTTTTACCCAATGCGAATCTCGAGCCTAAATAACCAAAAAGATATTTCTTTTCTGGATGCTCCCGAATCACTTCTAATATCACGCTGTCTACAGTTTTTTGATCTGCTTTCCTTTGATCCGACACGGTGTACTCCTAAAAAGAAAAACATTAACAATTAAAAAAAGCTACACTTAAAGCAAAAAGCACTCAATGAAGTAATTTATCACTACTGTCAACTATCACCGGAAAACAATCATTTCGTTCTCTGATCGCACTTTTTGACATTGCATTACAATGCGCTACCATGAAATGCGACACAGAAAAAGAAGACTTTTCTCCAAGAAAAGAAAAAATTCCGCAATAACCAAAAAAATTATCAAAAAAGGAAATTGTGAAAAAACACTCTTTTTTTCAACTTACAGTTGTTCCTTGTGCAAATATATTGGCATCGCCTTTTTTGGGAGCTTTTTTCGAATTGAATCTCCGAAAATAGGCATCATCAATGTGTCCTGGAACTTTCAATCTTGATATATCAATTTTTGTCTTCGTTGCAATTACGAAAGCCTGAGCTATACGTCGTAGTGGAGTGGAATTGAGTTTCATCGGCCCTGGAATAAATGAAGATATAAATTGTTTTGCGAGATTTATTTTCTCACAATTAAGATTTCAAGATTTTAACAAATTTTCAAATGTTGAAGCTTTTTTGAGGTCCTGCTTATGACCAACAGCATAACCTCACCCAATAAAGATTCGTTTTATATAGCTTTCATTGACGACTGACCGGTCCATATCTGGGAAAAATCAGTGCTTTTTGAAAGCATTTACAGTAGCTGAATCCATTTACTAGAAAGCTAAAAATTACCTGTGACAAGTAAAAGGCCCGATTTTTCTAACTGCTTTAAAAAGATGACACGCTTGCCCTTATGTCGTCCAGCAAGTATTATTAGAATGGTGCCAGGAGTGATCGACGATCGCAATGGCGTTTTTTTCGTAGATCGTTTTATTCGCCGGGTGACTGTAACTTCCCTCAGATATTTCGGCTAAAACTGACTCATTAAATAAAAGATTGTTCAAACCAATGATTTTCATCTTCTAGACAAGAAGTCAAACAAGTATTGCGATTAGATATATAAACAAAAGGCCTGCAGTATCCGATATACAATTTTAAACCATCACCGTAAACAAATAAACATAGCCATTATCAAAAAACAGCTCATTGACATGAATGAATGACAGAAAACTATTTGAATATCATAAAGTCAGTTGTCATGCCAAGTAAAAAAAGGTAATTACAAATATTAAATTAAAAAATCTCGGAAAGAAAAACGTTACATACCCCTTTTTTAACAAGAACTTTTCGTTTTTTACCATTTTTATCGCCTCCAATCGGTTTCACAATAACCTTTGCTTTACGTTCTACTTTTTTCTCCACAGGAGGATATGATTTTTTGGCATACGCACCGCGTTTTGCATACATCCGCGCAGCAGAAAATCGCATAATTCCCGGTGCTACCTCATAATTATGCCTCATACGTGGCGCACTCTTCTTCTCCGACATTTCTCTGCGCCTGCAAAAAGTACAAACTGTAACATCGTATAGGATGGCCTGCAAACGCACAAACATGTGACAATTCCCTCCAATTTAACGTGGTACTCGATGAAGCTAGCATTTCGCTAGCAGCTCAAAGGCACCATTCCGTGGAAATATACACAGTATTATGTTATGCGTGCAGATACACAATACATGCCTGCATGTGTATAATGCATGCGTGCATGCATACGAGTAGAAAAAACAGCTATATAAGCACACGTTTCCAACGAATGTCAACCTCAATTCAGCCCAAATCGAAGCAACACTCCAATGGTTCCATATAGAAATAGGAAGAACAAAACTATCGTAAGCCAAAAAAGGTTGAAGAATCATTTTGAAATATAGCAGCACAATTTCATGAGTTTAATATTCGTGTTAAGTTTGCCAAGAATGAGTTGGAAGGAAATCATTTTTTGTTTAAAGGAAAAATTGAGTGCCTTTTTCAAATAATTAAAACAATAGGTTTTAGAAAATGCAACATCACGTACATCTGTCCACTTCAAAATATCAACTAAAAAGAGTAATACTGCGATGCTTTCACGATCGTTGCGCCGTTCCACGAGTTGTCGACGATCCAGAAGGGAAAATGCATCCAATAACAGATGCCGGATATAGATACCGTTACCATCGACCAGGTATTGACCCTTTGCCACGGCTAGCGAACTGCAAGGTACCAGTACATAAACCTGATTATAAAGTACGCGATTGCTGGTCTACAGCACAAGCGAGGTATTAGTATATTTCCTATTTATTGCATTTAATTCATCCTTAATTTATTTGCTTTCTATTCAAGCAGGCAAATTAAGCATAGAATTGTACTTAAAAAAATTAAATTGAGACCGATTGAATTAAAACTGGATATATCAAAGACACGGAAGAAATCTCGAAAGGGTTTGATATGGAGAGATTGTGGTCATTGGAATGAGAAATGTCAAAGTTTTGGAAATCTTCTGCAGACGCAATGAGATACTAAATTTAATGCGACTAACACTACAAGAAGAGAGTACTCAAGTGCAAATTCATATCACCATTTATACAAATGCAAACTTTTTCAGGTTTGGTGAGAATGACTATATTGACTTATTGGGTGATGGAAATATCCATCCAGCGCAGTTACAGTATCATGTCCCAGCTTGGCTTCGTGGCTTTCCAGGTCAACATCGAGCCAATGAATTGGTGAAACTGATTCATTTCCGGAATTTGTATAAGGAGAAAATGCAAATCAATTCACCTCGACGGTGGTATGATTTGCAGAAAAGAATCAAATATTTGCTTCAGAAACATAATTACTACAAACAGGATGAATTGAGAGATGAGCGATATTTAGGTTTGTGGGAGGAGAAACCAGACTATTTCTACAAAGACAAGTCTAGAAGGAGCTATCAGGACCTCGTTTGATGCCCTTTTTTTAGTATAACTTTTGTTGCCGTACGAGCAGAATAAAATTATGCAGGAAAAATTTGCTTGTTATGGATAATTAGTCTTTTATATGTGAGAACTGCATAAAGTGCAGTATTCAATTAAGAAATTAATGTGCTGTGATTTTTAGCCTTAAACCATCGTCTCCTCCCCTCTTCCCTCCTTCCTCATAATCCTAAACTTCGCCAAGTGCAGAGCTTGGATTACAAGTTTTCAACATGCAAATACTCATTTCATACTTTAAATGTTTGTGTATTAATTCACATTGGTATCTGCGTCATTTGCAATGTCTTCATTGAACGAAATATAATCATTAAATAATTATTCTTTCATAAAGATAGTAACAGATAAATTTCTTTTATTCATGATCTTTCCATGAATAAAATAGTCTGATCTTTCCGAAGAATTGTTTTTATAATAACTCATGTAAATATCACTCTTTAAGGCTGATACTGTGAGACAAAAAGACTTAGTACTCAATGCCTCATTTGGAGTACTATGCGTGCTTTTCATTAATGAAGAATTGTTCATTTTTTTTCAAAAAAAAAACTTTTATAATAAAGCAAAAAAGAACGTTGAAGCTTTTTTTGTCCGAATATCTTGAAATGTTTGGAACCTTTATATTCATTGTGTTTGTCTTGTTTTCTTTTATTTCTGTAATATTTTATATAGTTTGTGTTTAATGCGTTGCGCAAAATTTTCTGGAAAATATGAAAAAATAAAAATTAAAAAATTTTTAGGAAGTATGGTGGTTCGAGCAAGTGATGTAGACAAAAATTTTTTCACTCCACGCGACTATCAGGTATTGTTACCAAAAAATTTTTAATAAGATTTAATAAACATTTCTCTCATTGTCAGTAGAAGCTATGATTCGTGAGAATCTGATGATGTATAATTACTCAACAATATTTGTTAGTCCTTAGTTTATTGTATATTCAGTATGGTCACTAATAAATGTTGCTGATTTTCATTATGCAATCTTCCAATGAATACAAGTGTCAATGTGAGCTTAAATATTGCTAATGAGTCTGTTGTTTGCAGTTGCTTTACATCACGGGTTGTTATGAATCAATACGAATTTTGGTCATGTATTTTGACCAATGATTTCAGGAATTCCAGTTAATTCATTCAATGTTTAATTTTCGATGTTGAATTAGCTTGATTAAATTTCAAGGTTGAATTGCTGGACAAAGCATGCAAAAGAAATATTATTGTACCCCTCGGGACAGGGTCAGGCAAAACTTTTATTGCTGTTTTACTAATCAAGGAGTACACAACCAAACTTGTAACACCATGGAAAAATGGTGGCAAGCGGGCTTTCTTTCTGGTCGATAAAGGTGAATGTTTTTATTTTCACATTTTTTCAAAGTCTTAGAAAGAATTAACTTCTACAAAACTCTACAAATGTATCGGAGTTTTTATTTCGAAATATGGAACAGTATTTAATAAGTGTGATATAGTTGTTGCACTTAGTTGACTGTTTCTATTAATTAAATAACTTACCAACTGATCACAAGTCACTAAGGGAACCTTACAAATGTACTAGACTAAAAACGCGAGAGAAAAGGGTTCTTGTACGATCTATTACTGGAATGTATTTTACTGCTGGTTTTCAGTTTCTCTAGTTGAACAACAAGCGGCACATATAGAACATCATACAACACTGACTGTGGGAAGAATGCATGGACATTTGAATCAGGATATTTGGTTAGAACCTGCCAAATTCGACGCATTCATTACGTTACACGAAGTAGATCCTTGGGTTTTATCCGCGATGCTTAGATGCTATTGTTATAGAAATTGAAAATTTAAAAACTGTGGAAAATTTTTCCCTCTAAATTTAAAAAGCAAATGATATTTTTGCTGTTTTGAAAAACGCTTTAATATCCTAATCTTTTTTCTAGGTTACGGTACTAACTGCCCAGATCTTCTTAGACTTACTTGATCATGGTTTCTTCAGTATGTCGAATGCTGCCGTTATCATCTTCGATGAATGCCATCACGTATTGGGTAGCAAACATCCATATAGATTAATCATGCATCGATATGGACAGCTTACTGAAGGTGCTTGTTAATCACGTCACTAATTTTAAAGATGTTGTTGTCCAATTCATTAACAATAAAAGTTTGAATGAGAAATTATTTTGCGGTAAAGAAATTAATAGTGACATTCTTTTAAATAAATAGCATAAGTGAGAACTAATTTGTATTTCTACACCTATATTTCATGACGATATCCTTACTTTTTACCAGCGAAAAAAGTTAAGAGTAATTCTTTATTACTAAATCAAATTTGGTTATTTTGCAAGCGTTCTTGAAGATTAAGGTAAGGTTAGTTTTTCAAAGTTTTAGTCCTGACTTATCAAATAATTTTTCATTTAAAGTGGAAGAAAGAATTATTACCAAAAAATTAATAACATGGAGTTTTTCTCAACTCACTTTTTTTAACGGCATATATCAACATTATTACCGAGACATAATCAAGGATATATTTACTGAAACATGGTAAATTGCAGCAGATCGGCCTCGAATTCTCGGTCTCACAGCATCTTTGATCAATAGCAAAGTACCACCGAATAGTTTAGAAAAACTTTTGGAAAAATTGGAAAGGATCATGCATAGCTCTATTGAAACAGCAAGTGACCTAGTCTCCGTAGGTTTTCATTACATCATTTTCAGTTTTTTATAAAGTAAATTACTTTGTCATAATTATTTTCAAATACTAAATTGCGTTATAATTTGAGTAGAAATATCCATATTTAAATGGCTTTTATTTACACAATAATATGGAAACTGATATTCCAAGAATGAAAGATGGTGAAGCATCTTATTCTACACATCACACAAAGGATGTTATATGAAATAAGATGCTGCCTATTGTTACCTTATAGTTAGTAATTTCCGAGAATTTTTAAGTCTCTGTATCTCTTTTCACTTCCTTTTTCAAATAATTTTCTTATGTTGAACTATAAATTAGCGCGTATTAAAATCTAAAATACCTCGGAACTGCCGAAATTATAGGTTTTTTGTTCGGACCATCATTGGTGAGTGCTTACAAAACTTTTTAGAAGTGTCGAGTTATGTAATAAAGTGCATTCAGATTTCTAAATATGGGGCCAGACCGAAAGAATATGTCGTAATGTGTCACGACTTCTTTTGTCGTACATGCGAAATTAGCAAAAAAGTTATCAATACTTTGGTAAATTTTCAGTTTTTTTATTTTCATTATTAAGCCATTTCATAGTTCTATTTCACTTCGAATAATTTGCCGTGATAATAATTTTTTGTGAATTTTATAACAGCCAAAAGCGGCTATTTTATATTGTAATAACCAAAATGAAAGATGACATAGCTATAATTGATCTCTATGTCGTCAGATTATTAGCTTTCAAGAAGTAAAAAATCGGGAAGTTCCAGTTGTAAGATAAAAATTGTTATTCAAGAAAGCAGAACTATCTTCAAATTTGTAATTTTTCAATTTTGAAACTTTTTAGGAAGATTTACGTACCTTTTGCCTGAAATGTACTGAATTCCACCCAGAATTTGATGTTGATCCAAGGAAACCTGTTCTTGAAGCAGTGAGTCGAACGAAGTCTGTTTTGGAACAACTAGGGCCGTGGTGTGCATGGAAGGTTTGCCAGGTTAATTGATTGGTTCGAGTCAAAGAAATTATATAGCTGAAAATAATGTATGGAAATCTGCGATCTTTCTATTTCGCTGTTGTTCACTAAAAGATTTGGCTGGGTTTCTTTGAGACAAGTTTAAATGACTCAAAATTAAAATCCTTTCCACCTACCCATATAAGGCAACATCTCAATCACAACTACCACAAGGCCAGCGACTGTTATTTTGCAGCTGTTCCAACGACAACTGAAAAAACATTCAGGACAAGGTTTCTTGCCTGAAAAGCAAGTCGTCTTCCTACAAATGGCACACACAACAATGCGTTTCACTAAACGTTTGTTGGATAATAAAGTGGCTAGCATACGATGCTTCAATGATATGAAACCAATACTGCCAGATCGCTTAGCAAGACTGTTTGAAATTTTAAAGTTCTTCAGTCCTTCGAATATGGAAAAAGTAGATCCAGACTTCACATTTTGTGGTATCATCTTCGTGGAGCAGCGTTATGTCGCTTACGTGTTAAATGTAAAATTTTCACGTTTTATGTGTTATTTTTCTTATTACATTATTGTTTTATATTTCACATGTTTTATATTTCAACTTCATTTTTGCCGTTGGCGATTTTTTTAGACCTTGATAAGAGCAATGTCACGGTGGGACAGTGATAAATTTGGGTACCTAGTTTCGGACTTCGTCATCGGGTATAGCAGTGTCAATTTTGGTGCAGAGGAAACAATGGCATTGCATAAGAGACAGGAATTGGTAGGTTGCTATTTTCATTTATTTTGTAGTTCCCGTAAAAATTAAGTTATTTATCAATTGATTTAAGGGCTGTTATTGTGTTCTTAATTCTTATATTTTTACAATCTATTTACATTTGTGCTGATTGAAGATTAATCAATCTGCAAGATTTAAGGTAACAAACTGAACACATGTTTCAGATTTTTATTTCGAAATTCATTTACATTACTATTCAAGCAATTAATATTCCTACTTCAGCAATTGCTTTACATACCATCATGCTTAAATAAAATTTCAAGCTTCATTTAAAACTTTTTATAAAGAACAAACTCTTAGGTTTTACGTAGATTCCGTCAGCGCCATTTGAATCTATTAGTTGCGACAAGTGTTCTGGAAGAAGGTGTAGATGTGAGGCAATGCAATGTGGTTATTCGTTTCGATCGGCCTACTGATTACCGTGCTTATATACAGGTATAGTCATTTCATTCCTTTTATCACAAAAGTCGACTTTGTGGATAGAGATCTAGAAATTCATATTAATCTGTTAGATTGGTTCAATGTGATATCATTATTTATTTGTTCCAATTATTTGCTAGATTAGAGGAAGTTCCTATTTTGTTTGCAGTTTCCAGGCAAGAGGGGTTACATTAGCATTTTTAGGTTTCGAAATTTCAACTTTTATCCTGCTTGAGAATCTTACAAGCTTAATTTTAGAAAAAACTTTCACCGAGATTTAATTCGTTCCTTTTTTTTTGATTTATGGGGGAAAACTACAGAGCTTTAATTGGTACTTTAAAAGTATCTTAAATTTTTTGTTCGTTTAAAACATCTCTTTTAGTCAAAAGGAAGAGCACGAAAAGATGGCGCAAGTTATTTCCTACTGGTCGAAGAAAGAGATCGTGAACAGTGTTCCTGTGATTTGAAGGATTTTTTGCAAATCGAAAAAGTATGTATTTGAGTGTAGTAATTTATTTCTCAAAGCAAAGGACTCAAAAATTTATTCTGTAATTCTTAATTATTTATAAATGTTTTCTTGAACTCTCAAAAATGTTCTACAATCCTTGTTTACAATAAAAAATTGAATTTTGCAAAAAAATTTGCTAATTTCTTCAAGATGTTACTGAAGCGATATCGTAACGTGCATAATCCACCGGAATCAATGATTTTACCGAACATAGAAACAACGGATGATATCATTGCACCATACATTGTTGAAAGTACTGGAGCGCGAGTTACCTTAACTACTGCTATAAGCCTTGTAAACAGGTTTTTCTTTTTTATTTACAACTAATATTTTAAAATATCTTGATGTTGGTCACACTCTGGTCAGAGTACTTTTTGAAAAAAAAAATTTATTCTGAACAAAGATCTAAGGTTTGATGTTATTTTCATGAAGTATAATGCTCATCTGTTTAAAATTATGGCATTTTTTAACCTCATTTAAAGCATTTCATTTACAGATATTGCGCCAAACTTCCCAGCGATATATTTACCCGTTTGGTTCCGCAAAATACAATAGTGCCAGAAACTGTAAATAAGTTATTTGAAATCCAGTTACAATGGCTAAGCTTTGTTCTCTAATTATAATGAAATTATTTTCATCTGTGAGCAAATAGGTCGAAAAAAGAAAATAGCTTATATATATGCCATAAAGTTAATGTACGAAATATATATATCATAAAGTTAATGTTCAAAAATTTTTTGATAAACTCAGATTTTGACTACGATTCCGAGATTCTGGAGTCTTTAAATTACAACTATAATTCCTTTTAGTAAAAGATTGCACGACTGTTTATTAATATTTTGAAATGATAAATTTTAGGTAGGTGATCGAGTGATGTACCGAGCGGAATTGTTGTTACCAATCAATTCACCGATCAAGGAAACGATTAAATTAAAGAAACCATTAGAGAGCAAGAAGCTTGCACAAATGGCTGTTGCTTTGGAAGTAAGTTAGAGTCAGTACTAAGGCATTTTCACCTTTTTTCACCTTTACTTTTTTAACATCTTTCATTTTCCAGTTATTTTATGAGTGCATATCTTTGTTGAGCCAAGTTAATTTCTTCTGTCATTTTGTTATGGTCAAAGAATGAACTTGAATATCTACTATGAATTTCTATTATTATTGTACGCGGAAAACCGCAACATTATTCATGGCGAAGTTGATACCAAAAATCTCGCTGGACTCAGTATATGTGCTAGCTTGAATACTGCACTCAGTATATACTAATTGTCCTAATATCTCTTTTGTCTTTACGCATATATCAGAGCAATATTGATTGCTAAACATATGATCAAGGCAAATTTATTGTGCTAAGGGATTAGTTTTTACTGTTTTCTCTTTTAGAGAAAGTTTTAGGCTTGTAGAAGGTTGCATAAACGAAAAGAGCTGAATGATTATTTACTTCCGGTTGGTAAAGATACCATTATGCTAACAGCTCTTGATGAAGATCCGGATGAATTCATCCCAAATATGAATTATAAAGTTGGATCAGCTCGAAGGAGACAATTATACGATAAAAGAGTGAGTAGTTCAAATATTTGTTGTTTCATGCTGTCTTGACATTTTTCTAATTAGAGGTACTAAATTCCGTTGTACTATTGCATCTCAAATGCTGTAGGAGTACTATTAAGTCATGACACTAAGCACGCATATCAGTTACTAATTTGTCTCAGATTCTCATTTTTTTACTGAATTCATGATCACTCTAGAAAGGACTCAACTTTTATTTCGTTTAATCATAAGTTGCATGCATTCGCTTCAATTCTTTATGTAGAATCTCATTTCATTTTAATTTTTTTTTAGATGGCAAAAGCATTGCATAATGCAATTCCACGTGTTGGTGAAGAATGCTACATCTATGTTTTAGAAATGAATCTCATCAAAGCAGTAACTGGTGCTGCGAATCCAAAAAATCGTCGAATTATAAATCCTCTGGATACCGAATTCTGCTTTGGATTTCTTTCCAATAAAAAAATACCGAAAGTAGGATCAGATCTTGAGTATTTCAGCGGGTTTACAATTATCAGTCCTTATTTTTTTATATTTCGACTTTTTATTTACCGTTCTTTTATTTTATCTCATTATTGAAAGTAACTGATATAAGAATTCGATAGCACGATCATTTAGTTTTGATTAATTTGAAAACATTGAATCTTTTTTTGGAATGAGTCTAAAGCAGCGAAAAAAAGATTAGAGTGAATGCCTTAAAGTGTATTAACGTTTCATTTTCCCATTTTTCTGTTCCAAGATTTATTAGATTTTACTTTTTTAAGGTGCCATCGTTTCCATTATTTCTGCGTCAAGGTCGTATGCAAGCGAATATTTTCCTTGTCAAATCGCGTCTTCTTGTTGACACTGAAATGTTGGAGCTCCTAAAGGCATTCCATCATTATTTGTTCGACAGTGTTCTCCGACTGGTAAAAGGAGGCCTAGTTTTTGTCCCCGACAAGGCTCCAGTCAATGTTTTGATAGTTCCACTTCGACGTGGTATAGTTTTTTTCTCATTAGGTTTACATCTAGGCGGCCAAAAGATTTTTGGTTTCCATGCTTCTATACTCTTTTTGCATATCACTAGTAACAGAACAGTAAGGAATCAATATCAAGAAGAAAGTTAAATCCTTTAACAAATGAAAAAATGACAAAATGATAAAATAGAGAAATTTGACTAGAAGAATAAATATCGTTCAGTTAGTATATTGATGAATTGGTTCCATTACTTTCTTTCGTCGTTTGATCAAAGATTATCGAGACAAGGAGACTTCTTTTGCACTGTGAAATGCTCTATTTTGCATAAATATTTAAAATGTTAATAAATAGAAAAATGAGATGAATTGCTTCATATCCGTGATTTTTAGAGAGAAATAGTGAGACCGGTGAAGTGGATTTCAAACTAGATTACGCATATGTTCGAAATGTTGTTTCATCGATTGATGAATTGCCGCGGATTCCAACGGAAATTGAAAGACTGGCTTTCAAATTCGATGCAGCTAAATTTCGGGATGCTGTTGTTATGCCATGGTATCGGGACCGAGATCATCCGTCATTTTACTGTGTTGCTGAGGTAAGAGTTAAGTTTCGCGGTTTTGATGATTTAAGAGTGTCATTTTTTTTATGAGTTAAATACAGTTCTAATTATTTGATTATTCCGAGACAAAACAGAAAAAAAACTTTTCCTCTGCGAAATTAGTCTCTTGAATTCCACAAGTTTTTCAGATAATCGATGCTAAGCCATCGTCCAAATTTCCAGACGAGAAGTTTGCAACATTTAACGACTACTTCATTCAGAAATATGATATAGTCATCTATGATCAAGAGCAGCCGCTTCTAGATGTTGATTATACTTCGAGGTATCCTTAATTTTTAATAATAGAGGATATAGACGAGATCCAATATTTCTTGTGACAGATACATTGGAAGAAACCTCAAATAAAAAAAATAAGCTATTAAAAATCTGCTTTGAAGAACAATAGAAGTCTAATTAAACAATTCGCTTTCTTCTGTATGATTATTTGTTTTTAACAATTAAACTTCTAATGCTGTCGAAGTCTCACTTCAGTGTAGGTGAACATTACTTTTATAGTCGCTTGAATCTTTTAATGCCTCGACATTGGTCACGTTCAAGAAATCGGATTGCCGAAGAAAGAAGCTTAGAAATTAGCGGAATGTCGCAGGGACAAATTTTGGTACCTGAACTTGTTGATGTGCATCCGATTGCTGCCTCTCTATGGAGCGTTATTGCAGCCCTTCCAACACTGCTTTATCGGTATGCATATCTGCTCTCTTTATCGTACAGTTTTACAAATTTCGATGGGTTACATTAAAGAGTTCTGTATCCGAATTTCATTTTAGATTAAACATGCTGAGTTTAACAATAATTTCAGGATTAATAGTTTGTTATTGGCGGACGAGTTGCGTGAATTGGTAATGCGTGAAGCATTTTCTAACCCTAATTATACCACTTCTGATGACGTTTATTGGATGCCGTTGGATTATCCAACTCCAATGGATGATCTAGAGATGAGACCAGTGCAAAGAATTTGTGATCTGAAAAAGAAGCAGTGCGTTTTCCTTTTTGTGCATTCTGATGACTGTGAAAATCAACATTAGTAAATATGACAGAGAATATCTCACCTTTCATTTCTCTGTCATTTCAGTATTGAGGTACACTGCTGCTGCAAAGTATCATTTACTCTTCATCATTTATATTTAACAGCAGTTTCATCAATCAAACTATTAATTTTCTTAAGATCTGTTTCAGTGCGGAACAGAAAAGTCAAGAAAGTAATGATGCGGAGACGAATTCTAGCGCTGGAATGGTAAAATTCGTTTATTGTGTTTTTATCTTTTTTTAAATTTATTGGCTTACAGTTCACCAGTTATGCGAACTGTCGTTGCTGAGTAATATTTAGTTCGGTAGATGATGAGTTTCAGTTCACTTTTTAGCACGTTATGAGGTACATTTTTGAGGTTTAATAACTGATAACATAAAATAGTTTGGAAAAGTGGGACAAAAATGATTCCATATTCATATATGCGCCCTCCATTTAGTTAAATTCGTATATTTTTGCCCAATTCATATTTATTCATAAGAAACAAAAGTTTCATATAATAGAGATTTTATTTATCTTCTATTTCAAAAATTTTGGAAAAACTTATAAAAACAAGAACTTCACGTATTTTATGTTACTTCTGATCACATTTAAATTTCACTTGGAAGCTGCATTTTTGCAGTTGTCATTTATATTTTTGACAGAGTCTCGAGATCCTTCTGAAACTGTTAACTTATTGGAAAATTTTGCAATTTTAAGTTGGGCTCTTTTCTAGGCTGATTTTGAAATCGGCGTTTGGGATCCTGAGCTTGCAAGAGGACTGGAAGATTTTTCTTTGAATAAAGGAAAACGTGACGAAATTAAAGGATTCGAAGATGTTGACGTAAGTTATTGGGGATTTTACGTAAGTTATTAGGGATTTTACTGTTGACGTAATTAGGGATTTTATTTCAAAGAGGATATGACATCCTTCTCTTGCTTTAATTATTACGAACTGGTATAGAATTTAATTGTAGGATGATTCATTTTTCCCAATGAGTATTTAAAATGTTGTGCTGCGTGCTCAAATTCAGTGATAAACAATGAAAGTTTATTGCTCAAATTCAGTACTCTTTCAAATTAAGCTAATGTTTGTCCCACATTTTTTACAGTGATTTACTTCCAGTTTGTTTTTTCTTTTGTAAATATTTATGCGCATTACAGCAAAATTAGTCGAGTTCGATTCAACTCCAAGTGGGTTCTTGTAAAGCGTTTGCAAAATATTTATTATTAGAGCAAATAATCGACAGCAGAAGTATGAGTTCCCTTTTAGGGGGACACATTGGGTCTTATGATAAATGGTTCTGCCTTACGACAGCATGGTGACATGTCGGATGATGACGATGAAGATGCCGTTGTGTTGTTCGATTTCATAAACAGTGTCCATGAACGCCTCGGAAGTAAATTTTATTTTTAATATAATTGACAAGTAATAATAAAAAAATAGCTTCCTAGATTTCTGCATTTCCTCGCGCTTGACGGTAATAGATTAATGTGGAGTGGAAAATATTCTCGGTGTGCAGCCAGTTATAGAACTATTAAATACGTTGTTCAGCTCAAAAAAATTAGCACATTTCTTTGTGTAAGACAGTCTATCTACCTCAGGAGCTTTTCTTTCTAAAACTGTTCCAAGAATTATTCTTTACAGATTATTTTAAATTATTTACAAATATTGTAGAAGAAAGTGGCGATATATTTGCACCACGAGAAAACATCACATCATCTGGTTGGGATGATTTGATTGTAATAGAAGAAGCGGCACCTAATGGAATTAATATGCCCTTGGTATACTTTTTCATTTACTGGAAAAGATTCTTTCAAGTAATAAGACATACATTTGCTGCATAAATTAATAGAAATATTATTAAACAAATTTAGATAAAAAATAAGCAATGATCGTTTTTACAGGTAAAAGAGAAATAACATACTTGATAGAAATTTGATAAGAATTTCAAATGATTTTTTCCTGATAATAGATACATCAGTATGCTATACTTTATTAGTGGATCGAAAAATTGATATTCTCAATAAAAGTGTGGAAAAAAATTTCACACAGATCTGCAACAAAAGTAAATGATAAGAGCTACAGATGATTCTTGCTTTTAAAACGTTTGATTTGTAAGTCAATCTGAAAATAGACTCTCTTTACGTCATGTAAAATTTTCATCCGTTTAAGGTCTTAAACGTCAATAATTTTATATGATGTATTTTGAAATACGAGCCATCTAATATCCTAATTTTCTTTCACTTTCAGTCTGTGAATAGTGGAGATTCCCAGATTGACAGTCGAGGCTTAATGGCAGATTTATCACGGATGAGTTGGCTTCTGGACATGCCCAGTGCAGTACCTGTGGTACCAGTAGATAGTGTAAACCAAATCGATGTTGATGTAAAGAAGCAAACCATAAAAAATAGCAACAATCGACATTCTTTACTTACTAGAAAGGTCTAAAAGTTATTTAAACAACTTTGTAGAGCTTTTGTGTGAAGGAGTTCAAACTAAAATCAGTGCGTATGTACCTTGCTTGATTGATCCTTGATGATGCAGAAGGTTTTTTGTACTGGAAAAAAGTTTTCATCGAAAACTATCTCTGCATGTGCTTTTCTTCTGTGTTGTAAAATATTGAAATAAAAACAAAAATCAAAGATTTGAAATTGGATGGAATGCTTTACTAACTCACTTCACTTAAGAATATTTTATTTCTGCCTTAATTCTTAAGTTTATGGATTGCTTTTAATTTTTAGCCTGCACAGTTATATCTCGATTCGTTAGAAAGATTGGAAGATTCGGATCGGGGATCATCAAAGTCAAATCGTCAAGAAGAATGTATTGACTTGATCGATTTTTGTGATGAGGTGGACGAAATTTTATCTTATGGTAATTTGTTTAACTTTTCAAAAATAATTTCTGAAGAAACTTCTTGTCATATTCTAAAGTGTCAAATAAGCTTACTGACAGTAAATGAAATGGATTTTTTCTGATATATTAAAATAATAATTGATTTGCATCGATGTATATGTGTATCAAATGACGGGTAGTCTACATTTTCATGATCTCTAAGTGTTAAGTAAGAAATGAAATAGTAAAAGAAAAATAAGAGAAGGATTGAAGTGGATAGTATCAAATGTTTCAAGTATTCAACTCTATCACACCATAATCTTATTTGTTTTAGAATATCTTTGATATTGTGCTTTCAGAACATAATGACACGGTACCGTTTGATTTGAGCTATTTCAAAGGCTGTTTATTGGATACTGATGTCGAATTAGATACTGTTGAAGTGCTATCACCCACGAAAATACCATTGCATCAGGACGAAAAACTGACGGTAAAACTTGTGATTTTAGTGATTAAAAAATACGACTTTTCTTATATATATTAAAATAATGGATATAGGCTAGTCATGACTAGACAGTATTTGTATACTAGCGAAAATGCAACTGTATATAAAAGTTTATAAATTGTTTTTTATTCTTGAGATTTTAAAGAGTAGAATCATAACGGGATAGGAGTCCGTACTGTTAATGTTTTGATGAGATTTGAATGATGACTGATTACCTTATTTTTGATTTTTTATGTGCAATTTTTTTAACGTTTTTCAGGATGAAGAGATGATAAGATCATCAAGCGATTTAGAATTATTTTTGCAAATATCACGCGATGGTGATGCTACAAAGTTGGCTTGTTCAGCGGTGCATGCAAATACAGTTAATAGAAAGGTTTCTTGAAGTATATTTTAGAAAAAATCAAATGGCTTCAAACATTTTGCAACGTCAGATCAGCCTTAACTGCAATGCATCAAAAATCATGTATTCAAAATATTAGTAGCTTCGCTTCAGCTTAATGTGTGTTCACGTTAATCAGTCCAACACTTTTGTAATGCTGTTGGTACAAAAATCAAAATCTTTAGATTTTTTATATTAGATTTCTTGATGATTGGTGAAGTTAGTTAAAAAATTTATGAAACTGTGAAAAGAAAATGGACTTTCTGCGTGTTAGACAGTCCATATGATTCATGATAGTTAATTGCACTTTCCCTCAAAAACGAAAAAAAATAGGAATGCCGTGGAATAAAACAGAAATGTTTTCTTGAGAGAGGAGAAAAAATGGCTTACTGTCTGTCATTTGCCTGATTTTCTTCAGCTATATTTATTGACACCATAAATATGCCTAATTAATGAAATATTAGATTGATTTAAGCGAAGATGAGACTGCAGTTTAATCTTCAACTATTGCATTATATATTGTTTTAAATCAGCTTGATTGCTTTTCATTACTATTTAGTTATTCTAAAATCCATTTTGATGAAATTATCCCGTTAAGCATGAGAAAAAAGTTGAAAACAATCTTTTCAGCAAGAAGTAATTGCTCCAGCCCTCGACTGGATGACATTTTCGTTCGAAAAAGATACCTTCAATGATCATCCAGATGGTGTCTCACCATGCACCTTACTGCAGGTATCTAGCTCAAAGATTAGCTACTGTCACAGTTTATGTCTAGTATCAGAATTTTTTTCAGGAAAATTTGTATTGCATCTATATCAAAGCAAGTATTAATTACTTTGTACGGATCAGTTTTGATGAAATTTCATGTAATAGTTTGAAGTGAAATTTTTTGATTATTGAGATCCGATAAAATAAGTATAATAGTGTATGTTAAAATATCGACTGTCAAACTCATATTTTTATCTACTGAAGAACCACTACTATAAGGTTATTTTGCCTTTAATATAAATGACAACTGATATAACCTGTTTTAATTTGCTTTAGAGCTGATCTCTGATTTTTTTTCAACTGATTTAACAAATGACATTCTTTTAGGCCTTGACACTGTCTAATGCATCCGATGGTATCAATTTGGAACGTCTGGAGACTGTTGGTGATTCATTCTTGAAATATGCCGTAACTGATTACTTATTTCACACCAATCCTGATCAACACGAGGGGAAACTTAGTTTTGCGAGGAGTAAAGAGGTAACACACTAATTTCACAGATTTTTATAAATCATTACTTTTTGTCAAAATGTACAATTTATCGACTTCATTTCTTCATTTTGTTTTGCAAAAAAAAAAAAGAATTTGATTTACCTATAGTCTGAGGTACTTCAAAATGAAGCAATTCATTACTGTCCAAAGTTGTTTTATTTATCAAGTTTGTAACATTTTTGCTTCTAAGGTATCAAATTGCAATTTATATCGTTTGGGAAAGAAGCATAATCTTCCCTCTTTGATCATTGGTTCAAAATTTGATCCAAATGATGGATGGTTACCTCCTTGGTGAGTTCTTATTTCTGTGCTCCTCCTATTTCCTTGTCTTTTTTGACTAGAAATGATTCAAAACTTTATGCTTTGTTCACTACTCAAATTAAAAATTTTTAACTGTTATCAATTTCGTATGTTCTGTGTGTTATTTTATTTTTCTTCGTTTTTCTGTTTAATCGAGTAATGGAAATCCATTTTTATGAGAAATAAAAGTTCTAGTCGATTTTTTTCGTCTGTGATTTCTTTTTTCTTTTCAGTTATTTATTTCTTCTGTTCATTTGCTCTGTACTCGATTAAAATTTTTTCTTTGTGGTGAAAATATCACGAAGTCAAAGTTTTGCTTTTTTCGTACAAAAAATTTGTTGAAATTCAGTTACGCACCAACATCAGACTTTAAAGCACCGAATACATTGGATGCAGAAGAACGTGACAAGTTCATCGAAAATGTTCTTGAAGGAAAAGCAGTCGAAGGACAGGAACCGGTGTGGTTTTATTATCACTTACCTACTTTCATGTAATACTAAGATGGGAAATATGGAATTAATTTTCCTATTTTTAGTTTCCATAGTTTCCATAGAATATATTTTTTTATAGTGAGTTTTTTAATTAGCACATTTTCTTTACCACCCAAAACAATCTGAATTCTTCCATGTAAAAAAAAAAAAATTATACGATAAGGTATGTATAAATGATAGTTTGGATTTTGTAACAATTTAAATTTTAGGTAAAAGTACCTACAGGTTGGGATGAGTCTGACAGAAATAGTCAAGTTCGACGGATTGCTAATGGTATCGAAACTATTGAATTTCCAAAGGTGAACATTCGAAGTAGTGATTAAAGAACTAACATTTACATATTTTTCTGTTCGAATATTAGTTCATTAATTGTAGCTTATATTTAGTGAATTATGAATACGCTAGATGTGATGAACAGCACTCTTAAGAAAACATTAGAATATCGATGTCGTTATTTCTTTAGTGGTAAATGATTTTTTGGTGGTTATTATAGCATTTTGATGAACAAGTTTCTTCACCTTCATTCATATATCCGGTTAGTCATACTTCAGAATATGACAACAAGTTGGGATGGTGAAGAGATTACACCGTTGCCATATAATCTGTTAACACAACAAAGTTTGGGTGACAAATCAATTGCTGATGCAGTGGAGTCTTTGATTGGTGCTCATCTTTTGGAGCTAGGTCCTACAGCAACGTTAAAATTCATGAAATGGTTAGGATTAAAGGTACTTACTGAGCCAGTACAAACAGAACCACCGCTTTTGCGATTTATCGACACAGCTGAGCAGGTAATTTGTATTTTGCGTTTTAGCTGTAATAAAAGAGTTTATTTTGTATAATTATACTCTTACATTCTCAATAATCTGATTGAATAAAGGTTTTTTAAATGCTTTGCACTTTATTCAGCTTCGCTGAGTGGTTTATTTTTTTACGATTAATATTAGATTTTCAGAAACTTTTCCTCACTTTGTGCCAAATATTTTTTTATTTTTTCCCTTCAATAATAATAGGTTTTTTGAAAATATAAGAAGTAGTTGTATTTTCGAAAAACTTATTATTATTGAAGAAAACGTTTTTGAAAAAATCTATGTCCAAAAGATCAAATAAACATTGAATCACTAGAAGAATGGCAACCAGTTTAATTATAATTCTTTTTATAAGGCACTTTATTAATCCAATTACTTTCAGCCAGATCAGTCGCTGAAGAAGTTGAATGATATGTGGATCCAATTTCAATTTTCGAAACTGGAAGATTGTATTGGTTACCGCTTCAGTGACCGAGCATACCTATTGCAGGCATTTACGCATGCTTCTTATTATAAAAACAGGATAACGGGCTGCTATCAGGTACTTTTACAAGTCAGTCAAGTAGCAAAATTTTAAGTAAATGTCTCATCATCATTGTTCTAATTACTAAGATCACTTCCATATATCAATTTGAAATGAAACCATAATCTTCAGTTTTCTAATCGTTTAATTTTTATTTAAAAATTAAACTCTGTCTATTGCAGCGCTTAGAATTTCTTGGTGATGCCGTTCTAGACTACGTTATCACACGATTCCTCTACCAACATTCAGCACATTATAGTCCAGGTGTTCTTACGGATCTTCGTTCAGCGCTTGTTAACAATACTATTTTTGCATCATTAGCTGTCAAGTACAACTTTCATAAGGTATTTCATCTTCATTATCTTATTTAAATTTCATGATTTCTAAGATAGCTTCTATTAATTCTATGTTTATGTTATGCAAAAACATGTAAAATTTGTTCACCGAAACATATTATTCATTAAACAGGTAACATGAAATTCTATTATAGCAGTTCTTCACTGTTACTATTTAAGCATTTTATCGCGATGTGCCCCAGATTGCACCATATGATCGAGAAATTTGTTTGTCTCTGTGCAGAAAAGAATCTTTCGAGTGCAAATTTCAATGAAGAGGTATTTTTTCCTCAGCAACTTGACAGCAAGTTTTGCTTTTCTCCCATTCTAACAATCTGGTTAGTCTAATTTGAATGCAGCTAATTAGCACATGTGACCATATACATAAAAAATTATGTTATACGTACAAGATGGTTACAGCGGATTGAAAAGTTAGAAATTCAATTACATTTTTTTTTTTAAAATTTACAGATGTACATGGTTACAACAGAAGAAGAAATTGATGAGGGTGAAGAGGAAGATATAGAAGTCCCAAAAGCAATGGGTGATATTTTCGAGTCGGTAGCTGGAGCCATCTATTTGGTAATCCAAAAAGTTCAAGTTTTTATACAGGAATCTTAATTTCATGGAGTTACAACCCTCAACCTGCGGAAATTTTTGTTCTAAAAAAAATTATAAAATTTTGTTTTTGTTGGCATTTTTTTCATAATTTTAGGAATTTCAGGATAGTGGGCGAAGCTTAGATGTTGTATGGAGAGTTTTCTATAACTTAATGAAAGAAACTATAGAAGAGTGTTGTAGTAATCCGCCACGTTCACCGATTCGTGAACTGCTTGAAATGGAACCTGAACGGGCTCGATTTTCGTATGTTCCTTTTCTTTCGTTTTGACAGTTTCCAAATTTTAGTCATTTTACAGTTTGAAGTATGGTTATCTTTGATTTCCAAGTTTTTTATTCGATACTAAAAATTGAAAAAATAAGATCTAAACACTTAGAGTATGCAAACAAATTTAGAAAATTTTGATTTTTTAGACTTTTTCTTAGTAAGATTGTTTGAAAAACAAAATTTTAAAAATTTTGAAACTTTTTTACTTTTCACGGGATTCAAAGATTTGAATTTGAACTGATTAAGCACGTTCTATTGAGAAAGTTGGTTACAGTCTTGGTACTCAATATACAGCGCAAAAAAGACATGGAGAAACAAAAATAGTGTTTTACGTTAAATATCAATTTTTTATTTGTTGATAAATATTTTATTGTAGGAAATTGGAGAGGATACTGGAAACGGGAAAAGTACGTGTAACGGTTGATATCCAAGGCAAGTGTCGCTTCACTGGAATGGGTAGGAGCTATCGGATAGCCAAATGTACGGCAGCCAAACGAGCTCTTCGCTATTTACGAAGTTTAAAGAAAGAGAAAGAACGAGAGGCTCAAAAGCAATAATTTGAAAACTATAAAATTAATATGTTTATAATATAATGAAGTATTGCACAAAGATGGAAGAGGAGGTGACATCCATGGTAGTAGTTATACATTAGATCTGTATTTTACATTTTAGAAAATTAGATTGAAAGAATATGTTTGAAATTCATATTTTTCGGGATGAAATTTGGGAAGTAGATCCGAAGTAATGTAGATCAAAAAATAAGTTACGGATGGTGGCTATAGTTATGTAGTTTTAATGTGAAAAAAAAATTGTAAAAGAGAGAAATGTAATTTGCATCATCAAACTTCCGCAGTTTTTATACTGATTTTAGAAGTAATCAGAAATTATGCTGATTATTTTGTTTTTTTTACATTCGTTATATTTTCTGATTTTGGATTTTATAAGTTCATGAATTTAATTTGAGTCCTTTTAATCAAAGCACATGAATTTTATATTTCTTATTCTCTATTTTGATGCTTTTGATCTCGGATCTCAAGCAGTACTCAAATTTATCAGAGCTGAGAAAGTTCGGCAGTAATCATTGGCGTGAATTTTGTAAGTAATTTTTATGATGACGACCAATCATATGAAACTGATTTCGACCATATAGCCGTTTTTTCCAGTTGAACGTAGGTTACGACCAAATCTGCCAAGAAGTCATTTTGTAATAGGTCTCAAACTTTTTAAAATTTTTAGGCTTTAGACCATCTGTTTGAATATTCATGATCTCTTGCATTGAATTGTATTTTGGGATTAGGTAATGTTTTCTTTATCATCTATTGCTAATTTAAACAAATTTTTCGAGATATGTTCCCGTCCTTTTCATTTTTGTAGCAATTAAACTGTAAAAGTCAACTCTTGTAGTGCAAGATCTTATGAAGTACAGATTTACAGTTATTGGTTTCAAAAAAAAGTTATTGGTTCTAATGAAATTTCTTCACTGTTATTTCAGCAAATCATTACTTTTTATACAGTTCAAGTCACTTTTGACAATAGTTAAATCCTCCACCTATTCCTTCCCTCAGTAACGGTTGAATGAACAGAGATACCCTGAACTGAATTAGGATGAAGCTTGAACAAAGGGCTGAGTAAGAAGTAAATCATATAGTTATCATACTCTATTTTGTTTAGGTAATAGATGCTCGAAAAGATCGTCAGATAAAATTAATATTTCTATTACTATGCAAAGAACAAGCTGTAGTTATTTGTTAATTTATTTTCCAACAAATTTTTTCATATTCATTTGACAAATACGTCAGTGAATTGGATGAAGCAGTTATACAATCGATAGAATCTTCATTATTGAATCTCTAAGCTTGTTTATACCGGGGCAACTTGTAAATTTCTAATAACACACTTTTTTCTGTTCATCGATAGATTGGTTATTGAACGAAAATGCATTAAAAATTCTTACTTATTTCCTTCATTTAACTTATGAATTTGAAATGGGAAGAAATACATAGCATGAAAATAGAAGATGTCTTTAATTAAAACTTATGGTACAAAAAAAAAACAAAAAAAAATGGACGGCAGCTTTCAAAAATGTGAGATTATCAATTTGACAATTAATATGTACAAGTGAGAAGTCATTGATTTGATGACAAATAGGCATGAGTGAGAACAAAGCAAAAAGCAGTTGATGAAAGTAATACCGGGAAAGCATTACGAGTTCTACTGTTATAAGTTAGAGAGAAGTTATGGGAGAGATCACTTTTGAGATTGCAACAGAACATTGCTCATATCAAGATAACTTCAAAAAAAAAAACTATTTTTTTTATTAGGAAAAAAGATTAAAAAAATAATTTTTTTTTTATTAAGAAAATGGAGATGGCATCAAAAAACTATATTTTTATTAGGAAAATTTATCGCGAACTATCTTTGAAGATACACTAAATTACGAATACACAAAAAATTGGGTTGTACAAATGCGCGCAAAAAGTTTCTGTACAAATTTGTTCATCTTAGCCTAAAATTTTAATCTTACCCGATTTTTTGCACATTAATGGTTTCGCTACAAATGAAATAACTTTTTCAACTATGCACAGTCACTGGAATGATTAATTCAATTTAACAATGGAAATTTCAAATTGAAACAAATGAGGTGTAAGACTTGTACAGACAAATGAAACACTCGATAATCTGATTGTAAACCTGTCATTATAGACTCCGGGGATGTAAATACCACATCTATCGGTTGTTTATTATATGTTATTATCATCCCATTATGTGAAGTGTGATGAAGTGTAGTAGTTTAATGTTCTCAACATTTGTAGATATATTTAACTTAGGAATGGACAGGTAGCAGCAAATCATTAAAGTTATCGTTTAACTTGCAAAATAATCAACGAGATGTCATTCAATTTACCGAAACAGATGATAATCCTCTATAGGACAAGAGTTAACAGTGCCTGTTCCTTGAATTCTTAAATTTTAAATAAAATTTAATTTCTTAAAAATTTTCTTGAATTTTTAAAGAATAAAGCCAAATAACTCTATAGGTGTGAACAAAAATGGATGGATGTCTCCGCTTTTTAAAGCTAATAACGGAACCGCAATTACAGAATTCATTATTTTGCCATGCAGATTTGTTGCATTCATCATAAATGTTTGCACCGATACCGACTGCGTCTTTTTAAAAATTTGAAATTAAAGCTGCTATCTTGTTTATATTTCATAAGCTACATTCCAATTACAAAATCTGCATTATATTTTAACAGATAGAGATAAGTAGGGATTCTTTTCAACGATTCACAACAGTTTACCGAGATGCTTAATGTCGTAAAATCACAATGTAAACAATTTCATGAATCTTCCTAAGAATTCTTTATTACATGAAATTTAGCAACCAGTAGCTGAATAAAATGATTTTTATGATAGCAGAAACCCTTCCTAGCACACATAATGTATGTTCTGGTTTTAAGACCACAGAGACACAAAAATAAATGTAAAGAATGTTATTGGTTTCATTGTACATGAGAATTGCCTCTATCAAATGCGGTACTCACAAAAAAATGGCAACATTTATGAACGTGAATGTTTAGTAATACATACATGAACAATTTATGTATCAAATAGATGTTTTCACTTCCTTTCCTTCAGCTTTACGCTGTTTTCGAATTGCAGCAATCTGCTGAAATCATCAGAATAAAAAAGTTTTTAGAAAGGTTCTTTTCCAGATCTTGAAGAAAATTTAATTTCTAAGCAGGATCTCGATACTCAGGGAATGAAATCCAATGGAGCTAAGATAAATATCTTTCTTAAAACTTAATATTTTCATAAATTAAAGGGAACAAATGAGCAAGCTGATGCTTGACTATGTTTTGTACGTATTTGGAAAAAAAGACACCTCGATAAAACTTTTTGGAAAGTTATTTTTTTCTCGAGCTATACATACGACGCAAAAAGTTTTTGTGTAGAAAACACTACAGTCCTGGAAAAAAGAGCATCATTAATCAAAAAGAAAAAAAATTATTGGCTTTGAGCAACTTCCACCGCAAATAAAACATCGTAATTTCTAAAAACAATTTTGTTTTGAAATTTTTAATCGCGAACTCTAATAATAGCGAAACTTTCCATCGTTTATCTCCTCTTCATTCCTAAAGATTTGAGAAGGAATGATAACAAAAAATCATAAATACATGAAAATTTCTTTGTAACCAGGAATTCATAGTTTGTTCTTTAACATTAAATTGCATTAATATTTGAATTTTCGAATTCAATTAATTCAGCTTTTTCTCAGTTGGAATTTCTAACACCCAAACTTTATATGACTGCACTGCAATTTTTTGGGGCTCTTTTCAAATATGTCTTCTGTCAGCAAAATCCAATATTTCCAAAATATTTGCCTACCTCACCAATGCAGACAGGCTGTCCGCATATGCTGCAAATTGCTCCCAAAACGAATACATCGAAAATGCTCATAGCCTTGTTTGCAGAAATTTTATTACCAGTGTTAACTTTTGTTCGAGTTAGTCGCCTTTCATTCGCACTACTTCGATTTCGGAAGGGATCCAGCATGTAGTACATTTCATCCTTATATCGATAAGAATGCCTACAAAAAAAATATTTTTCATATTATTCTTTTAAAAAATCACCTTAAAACTTAAGTTGGAACATTCTCGCCATTTTTTGTGTATTTCCGATATTACCTTAAATTTGCAAAGTTACAAATCAAGCCAACACGAAAACTTCATCATCAAAGCATATTTGCTTTCAAATGGTATTATTGATTTTATATGCCATACATTCGCCATGGGACAAATTATCCATTTCTAATAAAGAAACAGCACATCGATCAAGAAAAACTTGCTTCATTCAGAGGATTATTACAATTTCAGAGGTTACAAGACTATCATATGTTTAATAAAAAAAGCAACATTTATTTTGTGAGAAAAGTGAATAAAGTTTTCAACAATGTGTTACAAAAACTGAATACATTTAATTAACACAACAGAAAGAAAAGCCAACAACTAACGTTCGACCAGAAAATTCCACCAAACCATAATGGCAGTTCTCAGTGAGACCACACAAAAAACATGTAAACTTGATCAAATTCCCATCTCCATCCCCTTTCTGGTCATGGCCAGTGCTGAAAGATAGTGATAGTAGTAAATAGACTACCTGTAATATTAACGAATAAAGTGCTGAACATGCACAACGACATGAATTACACACACACACACACACACACACACACACACACACACACACACACACACACACACACATACACACATACTCTTTCAATCATTTTTATTATGAGAGGGTGGAGTTTAATTCAGCCAAAAATAAATGTAAAAGAAAAACTCACCCGTCAGCACACGACGACTCCCCCCTAACACAATCCATATGAGTAGTGAAATCCTTATGAAACGGTTCTGTACACGGGGGCCGCGTTTAATTTAGCGCAAATGACTGGATTTTCCCAGGAAGGTGAGGATAACGTGTATTGCGCTTAGGAAGTCCATTCGTTTAGTTATAGAAGAGAAAGACTGTATGTGCAATGTGCTGATCGAAATGACTCTTGCCAGAATAGCTTGAAATTCGTGATATAACTTCTAACATATGTAGAAAAATTGCAGATTGTAGAGGAGTGGAATTGTCAGATAATATGCAAATTTCTCCTATGATTCGCGAACATTTCAGGAGATGGAGCAATATATATACAGTAGTGAGAAGTCATGATGAGTGGGTCCTTTCAAATATCTGTCAAGAATTTCGTTTAATCAACATAAATTGGCATGTTTGCTGTACAGTTAAACGATGATTTAGGTTAGCTGTTGGACTTCTGATAGTTTTTTTTTCAAATTTAAAAAAATTTGATTAAGATTGAATTTTAGCCATTTTAAACCTCTAAAATCCATTGACGCAAAAAATGAATATATATACCTCCATTTTCAAACGGATCATTCGGCTCAGGTTTTGCTAGCTTCAAAGTGTTTAATCATTGTTTATACCTTATCTTTTTAATCTTCAGAACAGTTAGCAGTACTAAGAGATGGCGTCAACATCAGTAGAAGTTCATCTCGAACAAAGAAGTGCTCCATTAAAATGTGTTCCTTGTTAGGATTTTTCTGGAGCAACTGTTAGAATGATAAAATGAAATCGATCATTTTGATTGTTGAACATTTCAGGTGAACCACAGCCACCAACTCAACGAATTTTTCCCAAATCAGTTTTAGTGTATACCCTGAACGAAACGTTGCATGATGCTGCTGCTTTGGCGTATTTTATTCAGTTTATGGAAGGAATTGGTAATGACTTCATTGTTCAATGAATATCTGTAATGTAGTGAAGCATTTTGGTTCGAAATATTATTTGATGAATGATCTTCTAGTTTGTTGTTTTTGTTTTTCGGAGCCCTAGTCAATAAAACTTGGTTTAATGACAGATGGATGAAGGCTGATTGAAAGAAGAGGTTTCTTTCGAGGAACCTTGTGTTATCCTTTTTTGAAAAATCGTACATACATAAATAAGTATATTTTTGAATATACTAATTTATATTTGTATTCGTATTCCTCATAACTTTCAGGTCAGCTTAACTTAATCAAATTCTGGCTACATGCCGAAAGTTTCCGGTGTTCGGCACTTGCAGCGACGAAGAATGATGGACCCTTGATCGCAAGTAGTTTTTTTACTAAAATATATATCTTTTTGATATGCTAAGTAATTTCTATTTATTTCCATTGGAAAAATTTTTTTGCTCATTTTGCAGCAGCTTTCCAACTGATTAATTTAAATATTGTCATTGTAATAAAAAATCGCTTTATTTCAGTGATCAAAAATGATGCGGTTCATATTTATTCGAAATATATAAGTGAAGACGCATCTTGTCCAATCAACATTACTGACCAGTTGCGGAAAGTAGTGTTGGGTAAATTAATTAGTTTTGGATTAGTTAATGATCAGTGTGGCTTCGAATGAAGGGTGATATGATTTAAGACAATAAGACTCATTTTGTATTTCAGTACCACACAGTGAATGTTTTTATCTTGATGATTGTGGATAAGCAAAAAAAAAACTGAAACGATTGACCGTCATGAGATGGTCGAAATAGATGTATCAGTTGTGATTATGTAATAACTGTATCCTTCTTATAATTGCTGTGATTGTTGATTGTTGAGATTAGTAATATAAGAATTATCTACCTGAAGTTTTTTTCTTGCAGAGCGATTAAACGTTAAAAATGGGTCGTTCGATCCTTGTTGCTTTTCCGAGGCACAAACCTTTGTTTTGAACATTATGGAAAATCGGTTTGTATCAGTTTTTATTTAAACGTAGGAAATTTAATTTTTGGTCTATCTTTAATTATTATTTTTTTCCCATACAATTCATTCATCTTTTATTTTTTAAAACTTTGCTTAAAAAGCAAACAGCACATCATAGATCTTTTTACTTTTGTTCCTTTGAGGGAAAAAAGCTTTCCACGAAGTTTACAAGAAAGCTCTTTCCGTAATAAATAATCCGCTGTATTTGCTTGATATTCTGTAATGTTTAACAGATGTATCGTGTTAAAACACCGATATCACTCGTTAAAATTGTTTATCGATTCAAATTCGTTTCTTCAGGTACTTTAAAGAGTTTGAAAATAGTGTATCTTACACTAAGCATCGTATAGACGTGATCAGCAGTGGAGCACTTACGATACGCGATATCATGCTATGCCAGCCACTTCTATGCGCATTTGTAGAGGTAAATCTGCTTTTTCTTTACTATATTTCAACTTTTTTCATTTATTTTAGATATTTATGACCAATTCAAAAGAGATCAAGCTAAAGCTTAATTGTGTTGAATTCGTAAGAAGTAATTTAATAAAGTATTGTATACCTAAAAATTTGTGTAAATTTGTATAAGTAGAAAGATGTAAGCATCAAGATTGCAAACATTACCTTTATCCCGCAGTTTACTTCTTTTTTAAACTCATTAATATTCTTCTCTTATATTTGTATCTGCATGTACTGCTGTGATCAAAATTTTAAAAAATAGGGTGAAGTAAAATATTCAAATTGCATATAGTTTTTATTTGGTTTTTTTATTTATTTTAATGTTCTGGAATTTAATAGATTTTTTTTTGAAAACTTGGATAAACGTTCTTCCAGTATATGGAAAATGAAGACGAGAGGAAATTAGTAGAATTTATTATTTCCGCTGAAAGTTTTGCTAAACAATTACCGCTAACACAAAGCGATGAGCAAGCTGTTGAAGATGCTATGATTATCTATAACAGGTCTATAATCTCAAATATTTCTATATTTTCGCTAATAGGTGATTATATTTGAAAGTTCAGAAAATGCCGTAATTTGCATCAAACTGAATGGATTTACAGATTGAAATGTTGGAATTTTTATCTAATATTTCAATTTTTTTATGGTCAACGACTACTATGACAGTGTATAAAATGCATAAAAAGAAGGGAAATTAAGAAGAAAAAATACTAAGTTATATACACATTGCATCATTTTTTTGATATATCCAAGACTTATTTTTGAGATAACTGTTAATAATTTAAAGCCATTCTTTAGTGAACATATTGTGTGAACGGTCTGGTAATTTTTTCGTCTTAGCTTTGATGTTCTTTGATTTAAGATGTGTTGCAAAATGGCATAATAATACAGGGGCGTTTTCCTAGAAGCTTTTTAAGAATTATATATCTTACTCTTTTATCTTCAGAGCAACATCATCTGACCTCAAGGGTTAATTTTTTATATGCGACGATCAGCAATTTATTAGTATGGAGTTCAAAGGAATTACCGATAAGGAGTTAATGTAATAGATTCCAAATATGAGCATAAGCAGACAGGTTTAATTGGTCATTCTCGTACGGTCTGTATTGCAGATATTTTTCAATGCAAGCAACAGAACCATTAAAATTTGATTCGAAAATACGGATTCAAATCGAAAGCGACATTTGTTTAGGAAATGGAAGACCTTCTTCGAGTTGTTTCGAAACAGCACGACTTATGGCTTTGCGCATTTTGGAACAAGTAGGCAAATAATAATTATAGAAACAAAACCATGATTTTTGATATTGGATGATGAAATTTTGCAGCGGTAAGATGACATAAATCAATGAGATTTTATGATGAAAGAAATTTTGTAGATCATGTAAAGATTTAATTCTAACTAGCTGCTAATTTCGATTTGTTGTTACATTTAGTATCTACTATAAAACTCTATATTTGTAATCTAGTCTTATCCTCTCAGAATTATCTGAAACGCTTTTCTGTATCACCAGCATTCGTAAAATACCTGCAAAAGCTGATGGCTCAGGTAGAAAACAATGTCGAATTACCGAATCCAAATATGAAAAAGCGAACATTTGGTTTGTTTTTGCATTTTTGACAGTAATAAAGACAATTCTTTAGAAAAAAAATCATGCAAAACTGGTAAACTTAAATTCTGATGTAAGTAGCAGTCTAAAAGAAGTATGTCCTTTCCTTTTCTGTTAAATTTGAGATTTTGTGGTTCAATTTTTTTTTACAATTAAACAAAGCAAGAATTCGGATGAATAGCTTTATCAAGATTATTTCTTTTCGAGATTTTAGATTGCTTATAATTTAAAACCCTTTTTAAGAAAGAATGGATTCAAACGATTAAGTAGGCATTGTTTTCTTGTGATGATAAAGGAAACTAAGAGACATTTTTACTGATCGATAAAAATACTGCCTATTTTAGCAACCAGTTCGGATCAATCTTCAGATACAAGTATACCATCATTATTATTTGATAAAACAACATATCGTAATTTGACTCATCTTGATTCATCACTTTCTGTTGCATTGTCACCACTGAATACGGAAGAATATGAGACAGCTTCTCAACCTGATAGTTCACATTCTTACAGCGCGAATATTCCTCGCATTGGACGATCAAGGGCGTGAGCTTTTCTCGAATCTGTTTTATAAACTTTAGTTGGTCAACTACACTATTTTTAAAATTATTTATCATCAAAACTTACTGATAATTAAAACATATTTTTGCAGTATTTTAATTTTCTTTAAATACATTTCGTTTCACTTCAGGAGCGTGTCATTAGCTACAATCGACGATATGGGTCGCTACCGGCCAATGTATGATAATAGTTATAGTATATCCGAAAATAAGGGAAATACTCGACGAAAGCTCAAAAGCAAACTAGATAAATATCTGCATTACTCCGTGAAAAAGGTGGGTTTAACTCTAGTTTAAAGAACTGTCGCTTTTTTTGACTTGGATGGAAATAGATGTTAGAAATAAAACTAATGAAATGAATGGTAAAAGTGTTATCTGATTCCGTTGAGGATAGAATGTTGTTCCTTCGAACAGGCTACAAAATTTCAGATTCTAATTCCCATGACTGTGAAGTTACAGGTTCTGTCTTCGAGGAGTTCAGAAAATCATAATTAAATAATGGAAGTTCTTTCTTGCTGAAGGGTATGCGTTGTTTCAGGAAGCAGAGGTAGCGGATCAAGTGGCGCAACTTATCGTTGCTGACGTTCATAATATGGTTTCTGCAGGGAATTCGTTAAGACTTCCTGATTTATAATTATGCTATTCCATAGCAATAATAACAGTCGTGGCTAGAATTCTCTTTTCTACTTTAATGTATTTACTTAAGAAAAAAGATGAAAATTTATGCTCATTTGTATGAAAAACCTTTCATTTTATTGCTCAAATTGGTTAGCAGTATGTCGCCAAAAGTATGAACGAAGACAATTGCTTCACACGGAATGTTTCACACAAGCTTCACATGGAATTATATAGTTACAAAGGTTCTGTAAAAGGTTGCAAGTTGTAGTTTACGTTTTTATTGCAAATAATCTTACATTTGACTGATCTTTCCCATATTTATTATTATCCAAAAATTATAAGAGTGAAGGAAAAACAAGGCTAAGAGCTTCAAACTTAGGCGACTTTTCTTCATGCTCTTTCTCTTGTTGGTCTTTTCTAACAATTAAAATGTATAATATGTCGCATATACCATATCTTTATTGGATTAAGTTTCCTCAGTTTTGGTTCAAAATGTCATTTGGTACATATGGTGGATAATAGCAGTAGTTTTAAGAATGGAAATAGAGACAATTTGAAACAGATTTATTGTATCGTTCCAACTCTGTACCTTTTTTGTAATTTTTTTATTTTTTCTTTAAGTTATCGCCGTCTTTATATTTATCTCTTTTCTTGATTTTTTCATTCAACTCACGCAATTTGACGAAGTCGTTATAACTTTTAGTGGCCTTCGATTGTTAATTATATGCTCTTTATAGTTTCAGTGACTCCTTTTACCATACTTATTTCTTTTTAGTGTCCTTTTAATAACTGAAAATTTATGGAGAGAAATTTTGTTTTTCAGGTCAGATCATTATGTTGAATTACAGATGCAAGTTAATTAATAGCAACAAATTTTTTTATGAAATATAGATAAGTAGATATATTTTAGCATTGCTAATTATTTTACAAACTTGAAATGATTCCTTATACCTTTGCGTTTTTCTCGCCATCGATAACGTGACTATTTTTGAATGACGGATTAATACGATTATGAGGCCAAACTTCATTTTGCGTTTGAATTTGTTGTAATGATCATGAATACTAGGAGTTTTTTCCTTTGGTAAATATGGAGGCAGTTTGTAATTTAACTGTTTAAACGACAAAATGAAATTGATGGAGGGCAGAAGCTAAAATTCAACTTTTGATTATTCGATTTTCGGAATGTCTGCTTGCTTTATTAAATTCGCGAGCGCATGTTATATATCTAAATTTGTTAGTCATCTTGAATTAGTAACAATAATCTTAATATTTAATACAGTGACGGGTAATTTTGCTTGTATATCTTATATATCTTTTGATTTCTTCATCCTTCAACTGTTCCGCTGTATTCACTTTTTCTTTATATATATATATATGCAATGCACAAGAAGACTAGGGCGGATTATACGAGCGAGTTAATCAGCTGATAAATACAGTAAATCATTGGGAAAGTGAAATTGCTCGATAGTCACTCTGATTGAGTTTTTCGATAATAACATTGTCCAGATTTTCTCATTTTTTTATCAGTTTTCATTTTGTTATGATTCAAACATGGGAGGTAACGACAACATTTATCAGAAGTTTGAGCTGATGTCTTACTAGTGCGCTTATCATGATGGTGGTAATGATTTTGCATAATTTGACCTGGGGTTCGTGTTTATCTTTAGGATCAAGTATAAATATTTCTCCAAATTTTTTATCATCATTTTATCTCAAGTCCAAAATATGAAGTTTAGTAATACTTCGATGCCCAGTTGCCAATTAATAGAGTGCAGTTTTATCTTTTACTTCTTTATCCAAGTGTAAAACTATTTTATTTAAGATTAAGTAAATTCCAAGAATTAACTCTATTTTAGTACAGGTTTCTTTCTAAAAACAATTTTAGCAGTACAAATGCGCCTCCTCATGTTGTAGTTTCATAGCTTCGAAGCCAACAGGAAATGCGTTTATGTTTCCTGTTCTTCCTAAGACTAGGCTTTTTACTGTAAAAGTTAAATGAAAATTTTAAAAATTGGATGTGAGAAATGAAAAGAAGAGCAGTCGCTAGCATTTCTTTTTGAAAGTTTGCTGTAAATTTTTCGGGTAAAAATCAAGAACATTCATTCCATCTCATTCACAAAATTTGCAAAATTTTAGGTGAAAAGTATTTCTGTCACAGGATCTGAATAGAGTTTATCAGGGGATAGAATTAACAAATAAGCTTTTCACAAACTCCAATAATTCTATTTTGAAGGCAATTCGAGTTAAAAGTATACTAGCAGTGTCAGTAAACAAAATAAAGATGTGTTTTTAACAACGAGCATGTAATTAATTTCTAATTCTAGAGCAAGTAAAAAAATTCATTCGACTTCTAACAAATTCATAACATTTAAAGAGGTCAGTGGTTTATTAGGTCTTTTTGTTTACTTCTTATTGGCCGTGTGAGGCCGTAAATAAAGCATTTGCGGTGCATAATTTAACAATATTCAAAAATATAGCCTTCCAACACACATAAAATTTAAGGTTGGCTCTGGAAAAATTTTTCTTAATTCAATTTCTTCAAAATGATAAAACTGATAAGTATAAGATGAAGTGAACGCATACACATATACACATAATTATCATTCACTGAGAATTATCAATGATAATAAATGTATGGACAAGGAATGTACTGGTAAGAAGTGTGAATGGAATGAGTGTTTGGAATGTGTACGACAGATGGAATAAATTTTGCGGTAAATACAGCGATTAACGATGATGATGATGATGATTATAGATAGTAAACAAGCAATCAATATGAGAAGGAAAAAGCTGGACATTTCTTTAAAAATTGATTAAAAATGCCAAAAAGCTGAAGAAAAAGGAAAGCATGATATGGAAGAATCTTTTTGATAACACAAAAAAAATTTCTATTTCCAACTTTTCGATATTTCTAGTAAATTCTCAACAAATATTCTTAATTATCAAGAATATATTATAAGCTTGCATTTGGAAATTTCGCTTCAGTCTTCAATTTTTTTGAAGCTTTGCGAAACAATTTGAGGGTAAATCCCAAAATCCTCAAAAAAAAATTCCAAAACATTATTGGAGTAAAACAGTTAATAACAAGATATTAGAAAAATTCTAACGTATTGGATATTACCCTCAAATTATTGTGAGGCATTAAGGAAGACAAAAAAAGAAACAAATCAAATTTCACTCAAAAAATTTGAAATAAAAGAACGATTCAGGCAAACGATACAAATAAATATCGTATTTTGACGGTATCGTATAATTTCGGGTGATTTATATTTATTTAAATTTAAATTTGCAATTTGATAATCCATAATTTCCGAAATGCTGGAGTAATTCAGTGATAACAATGGCAATAATAACAACAATGTGATAACAATAAATAACAACAAATTGCTTCTGTGGATTGGCACAAAAACAATGGATGCATTTTTTTTAATTAGCTAAAATTTGAGATATGATGATTCACTATTATTAATACATCCCTTCCTCCAGCGTATGTTAGTGGAAGCTTTCTTTCTCCATATTACAGATAGTAAACCAATAAGTACCAGTAATAATAGCAACGGTAATAAAGATAGTATTATCCAAAAAGACCGAATACAGATACCATCCGGAGAATCAAAGATGTCCACTGGTTCTTCGTAACTTTTTAAACCTCAAAGCAATCTATGCTGATGAAGGAAAAAGTAAAACATCAACTTAATTCAAAATTCTTTTATTTTGCATTTTAAAAAAGTTGAAGAAAAAAAACTGTCTTACTTAATAATGCAATATATCGTTTTATGAAATATTTAATGCTGAAGTGCAAGTGATAAATAGAATAATTATAATAAGCTAGTTACCTACCTTGATATTTCCAACGTTTCATGTCACGTTGCGCTCGTATCAGTTCTTCTTCTTCGTTAACATGTAACGCTCCAGAATACGCCATCCATTTTTCACCTTTTACTATATGTTTTTCTAGCTCTTCATCTATCAAATTTTTCGGAATTTCACGTATATGTCGGAAATGACGCTGTTTCATCGATTCTTGCCGTTTCGTACAATTAATCTGATAACTCCATTAACATCAGTAGGAAAGCTTCAGTTTTATCAATTTAACTAAGATAAATTACTAATTTGTTATTGTTCAGAAAAAAACCTTTGGACAGCTTTCAATGCATGCTGAACAGTCACATTGGAAGCGAATCATTGAACTATCAGGCCATTTAAATGTCCGAAATTTTGCTGTTGTAAGCCATAGTTGTCGATATGTCCACTCTGGGAAAAGTTCGGTATCAATAGCACACCCATTTTGATCAGTTAGCAAATATAATTCACCTGTCTCCAAATTTATTGCGAAACAATTTCGTGGAAGAACTGCATATGTATCTAAAATGAGAAATTTACTAAAAAATCAAACCCCTATGTTACTGAAGAACTGATTAATTTTTTGATACAAAATTAATTGAATTCACTTACTTAAAACAATTCAAAATTTAATTATTATTATTCTAATTATTATTCAAATTTAATTACTCTGTTTGCAGAATGAGTCAGATTGGTTTTTAGCTGAGTATTTTGCTCATCATTTTGATCAATTTACACATTTACTGATGGTGATAAATCGGATTTTTAGTAGATTTTATTTGTAAATTAGATTTGTTTCGTATGCTACAATCAGCAGTATTTTTTTCATTTGTATACTATCATTGAAAAAATAATAAAAGTAATTGTTGAAATAATATTAAAGGAACCATTTGGAGAAACAGCAAGAGCAAGTTTCAATGGTTGTCCAACAGTAGCAGTATCAATTAATTGATCCTGTTCATTAGTAACAGTTAATGAGCAGGTTGGTCCAATTCCTGTTTCAACGATAGTCTTTGTTGTTGTTATCTCCGAAATACCAACATGACTTGCTACCTATAAATTCATTTTTCTTCAATTGTATAAATAGAGTAATCACTATATTACAGTTTTATGAAGAATCATTTTTAAATACAAAATGATCAATCTCAAAAATTATCACTGTTTTTATTTTAGCTCGATTGTTATGTTTCCAAAAAAGAAAAAAAATATGAATAATTTTTGTTTCCAAAAAATTTTCAGAAAAAAACTTTTTTTTAAAAAAAAGTTTCCATAGAAAAAGAAAAAAATTGTTTTCAAAAAAAAAAACGAAAATTTGAAGTGATTTTTCAATTTATTCTATTACAATAATAAGTCTTATTTAATATTAACAACATTTAATACTGTTCAATGGATGTATTGAATTATCAAATAATAATATTAAGGTAAAATTAAATATAAATAAATAATACTTGATATCATATTTTGATACCAAATTTTTTTCTCCAAATTTCTACACATAAATAAATACAGATTTTTGAAAAAAAAGAAAATAAATTCCAACATATCTTCTAGGAAAAGAAATATTATAAGGCCTAGTCTTATTTTCAATGAATTACAATATTACCATCAAACGTTAACTGCTTTTATCATTATTATCATTTTTATGGCTATGACTTATTATTACATTCGAATTATTAATTTATGCTAAAATCTATATGAATTTCATAATTTGCGAATATGTAAATTGAACTTCAGCTCAGTGGATAATTTCGGAATTACCTTTCGTACACCAACAGGATATGTACATCTGATATCATAAGCATCTGCTCGTTCAGTGATAAACATTGGATGTCGTTGAATTACTACTGTCACAGCAATGGTATTCTAAACAAACTTTAATTTCAAGACAGTAGAACAGTGGGACATTTTCAGTTAATTATAAAACTTGATATTAATCATAAAATAAATCAATTCATTACTATCATCAGCTAATTTAAGCTTTTTAAATTGCGGAAAAAATTCTAAAAACAGACCGGTTCTTCGAATCTAACGTTGCAATGGGCATACTGAATTATAAGATGATATTCGGTTTCATTAGCAAGTAAAGCGTTAAGTTTCTTAGAACAAAATGGATTATCAGTTTGGCCGCGAACAAATATTCGACCATCATACAGATCAGGGTCATTGGCCAAAATTAGGGTCATCCCGTCCAATTCACAATCTACTGAAAAAAGAAAAATTTTGAAGTTTGGGGAAAAATTGCTTCTGCTATATATTAATAAATCATTAGTTTTCCTTATTCTATTATCGTTATCTCACAAATGTTTTCTCCATGAAAGATAAACAGTGCTTAATAATATATTATTGATTGAATCCTAAATTCTTGAGCATATATTATTGTTGAAATTGCAGAACTTTTTTGCAATTTGGTTTTGCATCTACGAATTGATACTTACCGGACATATTGTGAAGAGGGTGGTGTTGAGAGCATTTGCGTCCACTTCCCTGATAACCGATCGGGCAGATACATGTGAAGGAACCGAACGTATTGTTACAAAGCGCCACCGGATGACAATCATGCGTACCCATTGCGCATTCATCAATATCTGTAATTTGTTTCAATCTTAGTATTCTTTACTCCGAACATTTATCTTCGAAAAGTCACTCAAAATATAAATTTGGATTTGTAGTAGTATTCGAGATTTTTGTAGATTTTTTTTGATGGGAAAAAAAACATTCAGTAATCTTCAAAAGTTAAAGATCAAAATATTCAAAAGTTCAATAGTTTATTCTTCTCTACAACATACCCATGCAGGTAGCATTTGCGCCCCTTTTGTATCCATTTGCGCACCGACACTCTCCATGGTAACATTGCTCATTTTCAACACATTTTTGCTTACATTCTGACACATTGCTCTCAATTGTTTGCATCATTTTTTCATCTTTCAAATTCACTAGAAAGTGTAAGTCACAAAATAAGCAAAAAATTCACGTCTAAACTTTAAACGTCAAAAAAATCACAAAAAAAATTAGCGATATAAAGGATAGCATAAAATAAAGACTTGAGTTTTATAGTAATATTCAAGAATTATTTCTCGACGAAAATTCTTTCGCTACTACGGAAATTTCATTTGTCTTCAGAAAGAAATGTTGCATTCGAATGCAACCATTTTGATAAATGTAAAATTATCACATTTCTTCTATGGAAACATCAAGCTACTGTTTGATATTTTATTTTATTTTTTGTCCGTGATAGCAAATATTAGTAAAATATTGATTGATGCAGTGAACTAAAAATAAAACAAGAAAATTAACCCATCCGGCAGTAATATCCGTCTCCTTCAAATCCTTGTTTACATTGGCATATACCGGTTGAAAGGCATTCCGCATTCTGATCACAAATGCTTGTGTCATTGGAACACAACAAATCCTTTTTCCTGTTACATTCCATTCCATTTCCAATGTAACCTTTAAGAAAAGATTTCAATTTTCGATTTTAATTGTTTAATCGCATGTGAGCTTCTTTTCTTTATTCCATTTTATCGTGATGCTTTCCTTTGCTGAATCAATTCAAATTAACAAAGCATTAAAGAATGGATAACTTACCGCGCGTGCACTTACAGCGCCTTTTTTCTTCATCACAAATAGCATTAGAATTGCAAAGGCCCGGATAATGAATACAGTCGTCTGGATCAGCGAAGCAAATTGCTCCATTACCAAAATAACCCTTAGAATATCGTTAATGCAAACATTTTCATAGAATTGAAAATCTTTAAAATACAGAAATAAATTGAAGAGTGAATGATTAGTCGGTACATTAATAACAAATTATTGCTTTTGCAAACAATTCCAAAATAACTTCATATAATTTGCAAAATTGAATAGCTTTAATGTAATCATTTAAATTTCAAAGAATTCAAAAATGGCGAAAAAAAAGTGATACCTTATCACAAATACAAGTTTCATTGTAGCACTTTGCTTTAATATCACATCGTGTACAATCATGTAATGGTTCAACCGTAACACATTCAGTACCATCACCTATAAAAAATTTTATTTTTTAATACCTATTAATTAGTCCATTACTCATAATATAACTTTTTACAACGATTAATAAAATTTATTTGCTGTATTAGGAGAATCCATCAAATTACTGAGTTTAAGTAATAGTAAATGAGCCAAGAGAGAAAAGAAATATCAATATGAAAATTAGAACAATATGCGTTACCAGTATATCCAACATTGCATATACATCTCCGGTTAATACATTCAGCAAAATTACTGCATAAATTTGGCCTCAATAAGCAGTCCTATAAAATATCACTTACGATATTTTCATTTTTATCACATTTGATAATGTTTCAAAGAAAAAATTTGCTTCAAATCATAACAGTAACATATACTACGTCCCATATTTCTTTATTATTTTACTTATCATCATATATATAATAGGAATGAAAACGATGAAAACGTACGAAAGTATCCGGAGCGCAAATGACACCGTCACCAATATAACCCTGAATACATTTACACGTATGCGTCAATACATCACACACAGCACGTGAATCGCAAACTGTTGGATCGAGAATGCAATCTTCAGTATCTTTCCTAAAAGATCAAAATTATTTATTTATTTAAAATTAAAATGCTTTTTTTTAATTTTCATTTCAAGTGTTCTTTAGATCTAACTCTCATATTGTCGTTTTTTCCTATTTTGCAAAATTTGTTTTTTGTTCTAATTGTCTGAAATAATATCAATTTAACTTCCAAACTATCAATTTCTACAAATAAAACATTAGAGCATAGAAGCAGAAATGATCAAAAGTCAACTAACATGCAAATGGAGTATCCATCACCGCGATATCCTAACTTACAAACGCATTTTCCGCTTTCCTCCGCACAAATTGCAAATTCATGACACACTGATTGGTTGGTAACAGTGCACTTTTGCACATCTATTTTCTGCACCTCTTCCGAAATGATCGAACTTCTAGATGAAAAAGTAGAGCCTGAATAAATCCGGGTACCAGAATCAGAAATACTTGTAGCTCCTTTTGCACTCTCATTCACCGATACTATTTCCGAAGGTAATGCTGAAGCAGTGAATAATAGTTTGTTATCAGATTTTGTACTACCTTCCCAATCCTTACTGATAAAATCATCTTCGCCAGAACCCTCAGATACCGTTACGTGAATAATTTCACTTATCCAAGTTGGTGAAATTTTGGAACTAGTAATGGTAGCGACGCTTTCTTTTTCTAAACTTTCCTTAGTTACATTTATATCTTTGCTTGTTACAGTACTACTTTGTTGAGTTGTCACATTGTTTGTCCCTCCAGTCACTTCCTGCAAAATAGTTTATGTAATAATTGAAAAAGGTCTATACATATCTATAAAGACTTTATCTTTAATAGATACTTTATCATTTCTTATCAACACTATTTCTGATTCTGATTAAGCGCTTAGTAAGATTCTGAGAAATATCATAGAGCGCTCCATTTACAAATGTTTCCATGGAAATTGAACGACAACACAAACCGTAACAGGCATAACTGTGGACGAATTGGCAAATCCGGAAGCAAAAACAGAATCGTGAGTCAACGTTGCACTTCTTCCTCCTGTCTCTACAACTATACCAGCTTTCGTGACCTTTGAAACGTCTGTCCGTTCATCATGCTTTTTGCCACTTTCTACTGTAGATAAAAATTTCGTGAAAAATTCAATTTGGATAAAAACTTGAATTGAGTTTTTAATTTGAGTTAAATTTCAAATAATGAATGAATTGTTTGATAATTGTTGGCCGAAATTATGTCGACCGTTGAAAAATAAATTCATTTGAATAGATAAGTAAAGAAAAAAAAATTAACTTACACTGACACATACTAACTCCATCTCCTTCATATCCATTATTGCATTTACAGGTTCCGTTAAGTTGACATCGAGCATTTTTGTGGCACATTGATACATTCAAATGACAATTAGGACCTGTAAAGTAAGTAATTAATTTTAAAATTTATTTTAACCTTTAAATTAAAGCTACTGCTTTCTCAAGTCAGTATCAAAATTTTTCGAATTCATTCCATTTTTATTGCCTGATCTACTCTTATACAGTCCAAAAATCATTAAAATATTATCTAATTTCGAACTATCATTGATATCAACCTTGGCAGATAGTTCAACAATCTGACAATAAAAGGTGATAGGAATTTAATTAGAAATTTATTTCAATCTTCAAATTAGAATTAATCTTTAAAATAGAAATACAACATCTTTCGTATTAGTGTGAAAACATGATACATTAGAAAATTTGATTGATTTACTTTGATGATTTATCTTTTGATTATTCTACTTGTGTACGATAGCAGAATTAGAGCAAGTAATAGTTACTAAATTATGAAACGTGAAGTATTTTGTAACCTGACTGAAAAACAAATACTTCATGAAGAGTGATTCCATCTACTTCTTCACTTAAGATAATATTCAAACAAATATGATAATGCAATTATTGATACGAGAATATATTAATTCTTCTAGAATAAACAAAATCCATAGCCATTACTTTATAATGCATAATCCATTTGAAGCATTTTGTAAATTACCGATTTTTTAAAACTATGCTTCTATTTTGAAGAATTCACGAAATAGAAGCAAATATGCGATAGCAGCTAACCTCCAAATTTGTTGAATTTTGGCGTACATTTAAATCCGTTACCAATGTAGCCGAATTGACATGCACAAGTGAATGAACCGTTAATATTACGACAATTAGCTGCCGGATCGCATATACCCGGTAATGAACACTCATCAACATCTGGGAGTAGTACAGTGTGGTTTAATTAGTACCAGCAATTTCTCACATCCCCATTTCCTGATCTCGACTACCACCAGGCAAAGTAACATCCAAAGGTCATACAACTAATTGATATATCCATTAAGTCATTTATATCAGGTTCATTTTTTCTTCCATCAGTTGTATGCTTAAGATTAATGCCTTCTTATCGGAAACTCCTTGCGTATGAACTTGATTAGATGATGATGATATCAGCTTCAGGTTTGCTTTACCCAATCATATGATCATAGTGGTCACCAATGATGATAGCAATAATTGTGCAATGTTTTGCAGTTAGCTAACACATGCAGGCAGGTACATACTATTCTATGAAACTTACCATCACAATGTCTTCCATCACCAATATATCCAATTTTACAGGTACATAAATGACGTCCCGGATTTATATCGATACATTCTGCATTAACATCGCAATCATTCTTCTCCGGATTCGCGCAATTACCTGCTTCTTGTATTGCTGAAAGTAAGCAATATCTGCTTTTTGCCATTTCATTTAAATATATAATTTTATTAATATCTATGTAATCTGAAGTTATCACAATTTTACTTTCTCTTATCATTGTTCATGAAATTTGCTTAATTTATTTTCTAATTAAAATACTCTAATCTTTGTAGAAAATAGATGAAAGTTAAAAGGATGACTCCTTAATTTCTTTTCAATTAATTCAATTCTCGGGAGTACGATTATATTCTAATAACAAGTTCGATAACTTACGGAGACATCTTCCATTTAATGGTTGATAACCGATAATGCACGATCCACACTGTGGCACATCTTCATCATCGATATGACATGTTCTATTCACGTCACTACAAGTCCTGCTCCATTCATCGTTACAGCCGGAACCGGCTTTTATGAACGATTCGGTAGCTTGAATTGCAAAAATTTATTGATATGAAAATATGGTAGAAAAGAAAAGAAAAATGTTAAATTGATCAAAAGAGAAAATCAAACAAAATTAAGTAAAAAATTTATCTTTCAAACCATATGACTTTTTAATTGAATATCTAAAACTCCAATTCCATTTGCAATTAAACTAAAAATAATCGAATATATACCAATGCAATGTATGCCATTGCCAACAAATCCCTGCGGGCATTTGCACCCGACACTTCCTAAATAATTTTCACATCGAGCAGCCACATTGCAACCAGCGATACCGCGTTCACATTCATTAACATCTGTGATATAACGGATTTCAGGAATAATTTCACGAGCGTTTACCATCAAGATAGCAAATATAAATTGTGGTTTTAAGAAATTCAATGAATTTTATTAAACTATCTAAGAAATATAGAAGCGGAAAATATTACATTTTGAGAACTCACCGACGCAAACACCTCCTACACCTTCGTAACCAGGTGAGCACTCACATATATAACCACCATCTGTATTAATACAAACCGAATTTGAGGGATCGCAATTGTGCCGGTTCTCTACACATTCATCAATATCTAAATATCATATTTTCAATTCGTGGTACGAAATAGAAACTGTTTCGTTGAAAAATATGAAATGAAACTGCTGAAATATACATCAGTTATATGACACCATAATGCAATGAAATCAAATGTCATAAGGTCAATTGTGAACGTTTTGCCTGTTTAAGAAAATGCGCAAATGTCTAATCGAATATACCTTCGCAGCTATGTTTGATAGAATTGTATCGATAATTTGTAGCGCATTCACATATCGACGTAGTCACAAAACCGAGGTTAACTGATAAGCATGATGTATGATTGGCTTGTTTGCAGACAGACAATTTATCCTATAAATTTTTCTCTATGATATTATATATAAGATAGATGAAATTTTGAAAATATAAATTAAAAAAAACAAAGTACGATACCAAGCAAGCGGTATCAAACGGATTGATACATTCATTTTTGCCATCACCAACCCATTCATCGGGACATTTGCAACTAAAGGAGCCGGGATAATTGATACAAATGGCTTGAGGATGACACGGATTATTCTCGCATTCATCAATATCTAAATTTATTTTATAGAAAGCAAAAACGTATTTTTAAAAAAATATTTACAGAGAAAAGAAACTGAATATTTGTAAAATTAGAAAACATATTGTAATCAAAATAAAAAAAAATTACTGTGTAAGACTGTATTTAAAATAACATACTATGATTAAATTAGTTCAATTATATAAACGAAAATGTAAATTGTATATATCACAGCCGCAAGGTTAATTTTGTTCACAGATAATTCATCTAATAGATCAAATAATTTAATTAAAAGTATTAGTAAGATTGAAAAATAATTACCGTCACATTTGGAACCATCTCCTTTGTAGCCAGGATGACAGCGACATGAATAAGAGCCCATGATATTCTCGCATAATGCGTTTTCATGACATATACCACTTTGAATGCATTCATTAACATCAATACAGCTTGCTCCATCCTTCGTAAAACCTTTCTTACAGGTGTCACAGTCAATTTCACCTTTATTGTCCACCAAACACAAATGATTACTTCCACAGTTAGACTTTGCTAATTCTTCTTTCGTACAATGTCTCTTCTCTATCGGAATGCACGTATATCCATCACCTGAATTTTATCACACTATGAATATAAAATATTGAGAACTCAAAAAAAAAAGTCAAGCGCTAATTATAGGATAGCACTTGAATAAAAAAGTTAGGTATGCAAAATTAATAAATACCTGTATAGCCAAAATTACATTGACATCGATAAGATCCTGGCATATTGGTACAGGTAGCATGCTGACTACAAGATCGCCCAGCACGCTCTTGACATTCGTCAATGTCCACACAAATACGTTCTTTTGACATTCGGTAACCAATTTCGCAGAAACACATGAAACCACCAACTTTATTCGAGCATCGAGATGTTGAATCACAATCATCCAAATGCTGCTCGCATTCATTGATATCTTATAAGAGATTAGTTCAGAAGCTTGCATTGTATGATTATAGAATCACTCTCTTATCATATAAAGTAAAAGGTAGAAGATGAAAGACAGTACCGATACACGGAATTATCGGTGGTTGTCCATCAAATCCTGGATAACAACGACAAACACCAGATCGTCGTTCACAGTATGCATCTGTTCCACATTCATTACTACTTCGACAGCGCAAAGACATAATATGAGTGTGATTCTGAATAATTGCTGTTTCTGTGGTTGCCTCCAGACTGTATGTCTCCTTAGTGGTTGTCACATCTTGTTCAGAGCTCGAAATATTAGCATAGAGCGGAGTTATAGTTTCCTAAAACTCATATTGATTTAAAAAATTTAATCAAATTAAAAAGTCATCACTATATAAATTTATCCAAAAGATTCAGGAAAGAAAAAAGAGTCAGTTCTTCTGTTAAATTATAAATTCAGATTTGAGAAAAAATAAACAAATAAATTGATACAAGCCAAAAAATTCGAAATCTTACTTGTTGTGTTATTTTTAACAAACTTTCATCGCTAACTGAGCTTTTACTTAATTTTTGGCCAAGTTCTGTAGAATCCTTTATTGGATTAATAGTTGATTCGGATGTTTCCACCCCAGAAATGAGGCTAGGAGTTGTTGCTTTCACTTTTAGTACAGCCTCGCTTTTTCCTGCTTCCGGTTTCAACGTCCATCCGGTAGTTTTTGATTCCGTTTTTAATAAATTTGTGCTATCAGTAGTTGATACAAATTCGATACTATCCTTGGATAGTGTCAGCATTGAAGAAAAATTAGCTTTAGAACTTTCAGAGTGATAAGGAACGATAGTGCTCTTTGTCGACGTGGTTCGAGATACAGAATCCTCGAAAGATGTTTCAAAATTTTGAGAAGAAATGATGGTGGAAGGTATAACTTGAGAAACTGTTTCCTTAGTTTCTGAAACAGATAGCAAACTTGGAGAACCATCTGGATTTGTAACAGGGACAGTGCTTTCATACTTCGTAATAATTTCAGTAGAAGGAAATGAAGAGCTGATTGAAGTTATGAAAGCAGAAGATGCAGTCTTAAACACTGAAGATGATGCTCCTTCTCGAGTCGATGCAGATTCTCTTTCCACTGAAGCAATTAACGCAGTTTCCAACGTGCTTGTCTTGCTTGCTGTCGTCATAAATTTTGAAGAATTTTCATCTTTTACCGATTCCAATGTCTTCATGCCAGTTCCAGAAGCTGCTGATTCCGTTGTTGTCTCTAATTTCGATATGTTTGTTTCATCAAGTTTGAGGCTTGAAGTTTTATATTCAACAATTTTTGCAGAATTAGAAGTTGATGGTGACATCGTCGATGTATCTACACTCTTTGATTGTGAAAAAACGTCGGGAATAAATTTGGTTTCATTGATTCTGTACTCAATCTCTTTTGTAGAAATAGATCCTGAAATAAGAGAAGTTTCTGGTTTAACTGTCTCGGTAATTGCAGAAGATCTGATTGCTTCAACTGTCGTAACAGATGAAGTCAATCTGTCTGTTTCAGTTACACTCGAGGTCGAAACTTCACCGATTGTTGTATCAGACTGTGTTTCTGCTGATGTATCTTTGCTAGAAGTTACTAGTTCTTTTTTAAAAAAATTTTCTTCTGTTATACTACTGATACTGCGCTTCCATGTAGCAGCTTCTGTCATAGTATCAGATTTCGAAGTAGTATTCAAATCCATAGCAGTTGAATATGAGGTATACTTCATTTTCTCATCCGTCGTCACAACGTCTTTTCCCACTTCTTCGCTGATAGTTTTAACTTCTGCAGTATTTTCTACAGCCGAACTTGTAGATCCTTCACTAATTTCGGATGCCTTTGCAAAAACGGTAGTTCCATTAGTATTCGTGGATTCTAAAGTATTTCTAAGCCTAGTTTCTATATCACTTGGTAGCAAACTTTTACCAGTCGTAGGGGAGATTTCCGTAAATTCAGATGCTGATTGTTTCAAAATCATTGTAATTTCAGTTGCATTTGATATCGAAGTGGAAGCAGTTTTAGATTCATAAATATTTGTAGTTGGACGTAATTCTTTTCCACCTATAATACCATCAATCTTTTCAAAATCTTTCGAACTAATTGCTCCCAAAGTTGTTGTTTCTTTGATATAGTGAGAATCGAATGTTGAAAATTCTTCCGTGGTCGATTTTCTTTCTACAAAATCTGAAGTAGACTTTGCATCCTCTCTGTCTGACTCCGTTGTAGACACCAAGGAGAGCGAAGCATTTAAAATAACATCTGAGGATGTGTTCACTACATTAGTCCAGTTTCTCTGTACTGGTGCATTCGTCACAGCAATTACAGTCTCTGTTCTTTTGGGATATCCTTTAATCAGTACAATTTCCAGTCCAACTTCGTCAACCTTATCATTTGTAGCTACTGTTCTGAAAAGCTCATTTGTTTCGACGATAGTGCTTGAAACAAAACCTTTGGTGCTGCTGCCAGTCATTTCCTCTCCTGAGCCCTCAATTTCGACACCTTTTGTTGGAGGTTCTTCATGGTATTCTGTTTCCATAGTAGCATTTTTGCCGTCACTTGCAACAGAGTCATCAGGTGGGATAGTTCCAGTTACGCTCTCAGTAGGTATTGCATTCGTTGTTGTAATCGAGTTCTCAGTTGTGACTATTCCCGATAACTCATGACTAATTGATTTGCTGAATGGAACTGATGCTTTATCAGGTGTCATTGTTGAAAGTTGTTGATTGAAAGATAAACGAGTACTTGTTGAACTTGCTGCAGTTACAACATCATGTGATACCACACTATCGGCCTTGGTACTTTCAGATGTTTGTTCCGATGTGGAAGATATCTTGGTGCTTTTAAGTGTTTCAGTTTTTTCAATTGGAACTGAAGTTTGGATGAATTCTGATTTTGTGCTCTCAGTTTTTTGTGATATTGTGGTTAAATCTGATTCGAATTCCATGGTACTTCCTATAAGCTGAATTGGTTTAATGCTTTTCGTATATGAATAGAATTTAGTATCTGCTTCAACACTTCTACTACTTTCTGAAACATGCTCACCAGATCCTTCCACTATTTCAATTCTATTTTGTGGTTTAGTCGTTGGTGCAACTTTAATTATTTCGAGACCAAATTGTAGAGTGTTTTCATCCAATTTATCTGATCCTTCAGAAGTTGCAGTTGCAGTTGAACCTAGCAAATCAGACTTTGGAATAACAATTGGTGTTTCTTTACGAGTAACCTCTATAACCCCTGGTGTAACAGTTTCTTCTTTTATACTGATTGCTATCTCGGCTTCAGAAATTGTTGCTTCGGTTTTTCCAAGTTGCAGTTTCTGTCCTTCTTCCTTCTTCCACTCTGATTTACTTTCGGGAATAGAAGGTGAGGTTATCGCTTCAGTGATTATCGTTTGGTATGGCGATGTTAGAGAATCATCAATTTTCTTATCAGTTAAGTGATCTTGCATTTTAGAACTTTCACTTATAATATATGTAGTGGTTGTGAGTTGCTCTTCCACGGTCAATGGTGTAGTAGTCAAGATGATTTCTTTATCGACAATTGTTGTTATTTGTTTTGTTTCACTACTTGTCTTTGTACCTATCGGTTTCTTTGATTTAATCAAATCATTTTCCGTTATCGGAGTCGTTGTTTTTGCCTCATCACTTTCCGGAATCGTAATTATTTCTAATTCTGCACTTTTCACTAATCCTGCTTCAGAAACTGATTTAGCATCTGTGCTGTAGGTAGAAGTTTCGAGAATTTCAGAAATTGTGGATTTTTCAGAACTATCCTGACTGGTGTTAATTTTATTTGAATCCATTTCAAGGATTTGAGGCGCTAGAGTTTTTGGAGTAAAAATAATGGGACTTTCTGAACTTGACTCAGTAGATGTATGATTTATTGATGTTTTCGAAGACTGGAAGATAATGATTTTAGCTTTTTCGGCCTCTTCTTCTTCAATTTTATGCACTTCACCGAAGTTGCTAACAGTTGGCAGCGATGAAGCAGCAGTGACTGCCAAGATTCTATCGGATTCCGTTTCACTACTTCTATTAGTTTCTGAAGGTAGCGAAGTAATAGCATCCAGAATTCCACCAGGACTTGTTCCTTCTATTCCATGAATATCATTAATTTCAATACCTTCACCAGATCCTTCTGTTTCTTCACCCTTTTCACCGCCTTCTGCTCTTCCTTCTTTGACTGACGATTCAAAGTACTTTCCTGTTTCTCGTTCGTTTCCACGCACTTCTAAAATGTAAACTTAGTAATAAATTAACACAGAAAAGTTGGTGAAAAGCTAGAAAATATTTGTTAAAAAGAAAATTGTTTACTAAATCTTGACTAGTTAAATTGACTTTAAATTAGAATTCGATTTTAAATTCATTTTTAGAGATAAAATAATGTCTAACTGCTTTCTAATTAGGGATATGGCCGATTAAAAAACTGCGTTTTTTTCGAAACACCACAGTTTATGTGCGATGATGAAATGAATGAAAGTTTGTTTGCTTATCGTCAAATCTATACCTCAAAAGAATAATAAATAGTAAGAATTAATGTTTGATTTCATTTTTCCTTTTATTCGCAGATATGAATCATACCAATGTCAATCAATGTTCCATTTTTGTCCTTCGTCACATTCCATTTTTTACTTTCAATTCGTCCACGTCCAATAATTATCGCATGGCCTGTGAAATTTTTCCATTCTCCAACTGTTTCAACAGCCCAATTACTCCTTCGTTCACTACCACTAAATTCGCTTTTACTCCAAGAATCATTTGCATTACCAGCATTATCAGCACTAATGATATCATTAGAGCCGACGGTAACAGTTTCAATGTCGCCTGTAATTTTCCCGACAGCAGAAGGCAAGCTAAGATGCTTTCCTTTAATATTACCAGCACTGAGACTATTTTCATGACCGGTTTCTAGACCGATGCAGTGCGATAAAGTTGAATTTGTTGTGCAACATGCGAATGAGCCGCGCAAATTAACACACCATGAATCAGGTTGGTCACATAAGCCAAGCTCGCATTCATTAACATCTACAACAAAGAATGACATCACTCTTTTAAAGTAGCAAACTTCCTCAGCTTTCTCAAAATAAAATAAATTACTCAGTAGCGCTTTCTGTAACTTTTTTCAACAAAGATATAAGTGAAAGTATCAGTTTGAAAGTAATAACTGACCTACACAACCCTCGAAGGTATTTCCAATGAAGCCATCATTGCACCGGCAGGTATCATTAACACAATACGAATCAGCGGGACATCCAAAATAGCATGCAAGACCAAACTGTCCCGTTGATATCACCTGTTTATCGATGATCACAAAACCGCCTGCTTCTTTTTGTTGAATATTACCAGTGAAAGAAATCCGCCGAGTACCTTTAATTTAATTAAGCATGTGAGTGAACGAGTTAAGTAAAAAGTTTGTAAGTGAAACAGATTATTAATAATTAATGTTATTTACATTAATTTCGATGTCGTGCTTGTTTTAAAAATAAAGCAAAAAATAAACATAAATATTTCTTTCTAAAACACATATACATCATTATTTTGCAACACAATAAAATTATGAGTAGTTACGGTAAATATATGACAGCTATGGTAAATAGACAATTACGGTAGATGTATAAATGGTTACGGTAAATATATTACAGCTACGTTAAATAATTATGTTAAACATATAATAGTTAGGATAAATTTGATAAGGAAATTATTACTCTCCAGTTTATAGTTGCTACCAAGGCATTCAGGATTCTTTGAATCGGCATTGCAACAAATGAATCCACCGAGTAAATTGACACACCATTCGCCAGCACCCGGACATTGCTTATCATCCTCACATTCATTTATATCTGCAATAGAACATCGTTCCATTTTCAGATGAAATCAACTGCAAGAATCATAACGATCAAAATTATTGCAAAATCTTTGGATAGCATAAGTGTATAATGTTAGAACTTTTCGGATAGACCAATTGCTATGAACGTTCTATTGGAGATAATGTACAATAATAAGTGATCAATTGGTCTGATGAATTGATACTTCAAAAAGCTTACTTCCCAAAATGTTCAAAAAAATCTTTGCAGAAGTAAAGATCTAATGAAATAATGCGAAAAAGTATGAATTCTATTTAGCAAAAATTGCTTAAAAACTTTATTTTAAATTTAAAAGTTGCATGCAGACAATTTACCTGAACACTTGATTCGCGGATCACCACTAAATCCTTCCATGCATTGGCATGTTTCATTATAACATACCGCATGCACTCCACACCCACCAGAACAGAATGCACCCTTTTCTTGAAATTATAAAATATTGTAAAATGAAAAATACCATTTCTAAATAGTAAACTTACTATTAAGGCAAGGTTATTTCTCCTAACAGATAATTTTACTCTTACAGCCTTTGCGATAAGGAGCCAATGTGAAACTCATTTTCTTTGCCCATCACTTATTTGCAATATTTATCACTTTATTTAAATTTATTCCCATTATCATCATTTCATTTAAAAAGCCTCAAATGCTTTGATTTCTTTTGATTTTTTCCTGCGTTATTTAGCTAAAATTAAATCGACACCTCGAATACATTTTTTATCATCCAGATATTGCTCACAACATATATAGCCACCATCGATATTCACACAACGCAATTCACCGATTTGACCTTCGCAAGGGTCATGTTTTGCTGCGCATTCATTTATATCTGTAAATAAACGATAAGTCAACATCTTTCACATAATTTGGAATATTTGACTTGTTTGATATTATTTAAGTGCAATCCAATAAAAGATATAATAGTATAAAAATTTAACAACTCGTGTTTTTTTATTACATTAAAATTTCTAAATTTTTAAAAATACCAACCGTAACAATTCAAGCCATCACCAATGTATCCTGACTGACATATACACATCCGTAGAGTGCTAATACAAAAAGCATGCCGATCACAAATACCTTCCCGTTGGCTACAGTCATTTAGCGCTAAAATAATATTTCAATTGCACTTTTTCATCTTCATTTTGTCATATTGAAAAATAAAGAAGAAAAATATCAAATTAATTAAAAATTATGTTTAAAAGAACTGACGTGTACAGTTTTTGCCATCACCGCTAAAGCCATCTTCACATGTGCACTGATAACTTCCGACTGTATTCACGCAACTAGCACGTTTGTTGCATTCAGAAGTCTTTTCCACACACTCATCGATATCAACGCACGTTCCATTCACCAAACGATAACCGACATCACATTTTTCCACACATTTGAATTTACCAATCTATGAAGAAAAATTTCTAAAAAGATCAAAAGTATCATTCCACCCTTGATAATCATTATTACAATGAGTACTTTAAAATCGAACAAGAAAATTCCTCACAAACCCAAATTATACCAATTGCTACCTTCAAAAATTTCCAATTCATAATCATCCTAAATTTTAAGTGATTTATTATAACCATACAAATTGTTAAATGATTAGTAAAACTACAAGCGCATAGTGAGGCTAATGAATGCTTCATAGAACTGCATATATTGATTATTTCAATATCATAAGAAGCAAATTTTCACCTCATTTTGACATTTAAAATTCTCTGGACAATTATGCAGTTCTTGGGCGCACTCATCGATATCTGTAAAGATGTTTTATCATTTATTATAGAA